AGTAAGACCGAGCAATCTAGGTCCTCACCGGGATAAAGAGTATAAAGAATAAGAGAAAATGAATCACTCACTCTCGACCAGTGGGGTCAGGACAATATGATGCGAAAAATGCGCATGCTCAATCTCTCAGTCCCTAACATCTCTTCATCATGAATGCAGCCTCTAAGTGCTAGAGTTCACAAATGGGGTGTCATCACTAACTAATCCGGAGGTCTTAGACCCAGGTTTAGATGACTGGTTAGGGTCTTGGACATGGGGAAAAGGCCTTTTAGGTGGTGGAAGTATTCATACAGCACAAGGTTCCACATTTCCAAACCCAACAGACTCACAATCAATCAAACCAATAACTTTCTTTCTGCTATTCTGCATTACTCAAGTTCAGAGCACAAGAGCGAAGGAGGTTACATAAATGCTAGTATTTCTAAGCCAGACTGCTAAGAAACACTACCACATGGGCATTACTCAGATTTTTGGTGGTGGCTCTCTTTTGCTTTCATTTTTTTCTTTGATTTTCTTTCATTTCTTAAGAGAACCACCACCTCTGCACAATTTCAAACACCTGCCCAACTTTTAAGCACTACCTCCAACCCTCACATTACACTTAGCAGAAACAGCAGAGAATATGTAAAAACCACTCTGTGGAACCTTCTAAAAGATGCAAAGGGTGATTTTTTTCATTTCAGACCAAAAGAAAGGATAACACACGGCTCAAAGGGGCTGACTAGGGGGTATGACACACTAGGACAGTCAATTTGGTCGTGGGCTAATCCTATGCCTCCATCATCTTAGCTAACGACAACGTGAATGCTGCATATCATGGAAGAGAAAACTATCGCACAAGAAAGAAACGAGCAGGCTCAAATCTCACATGGCTACCTATATGCTCTATCTCTCGTTCTGATTCCCTGAACTAGATGCATAAATGACTGTCAAAAGCAAGTGATCAAACCAAGTCACATTTGGTGAGCAGACAGCTGAAAAACTGAACCCCTACACAATTCTACTGCACATCTCAGTCATCACAATAAGTTGTCTAAGTCACACTCAAGTCGTCGTGTATCAAGTCAAAAGCCATTCAATTCTCTAATCACATCCACAGTGCCAATACAATCAATCATCAAGCAAACAGTCGTGCTTGGAGCCCTCAAATTTCAAAAATTTGGACAGTGGACTAGGCTCCAAGCACACAAACAGATCTAATGCAGTCAAAAGATAAACATCCCCCCACACTTAAGATCGACATTGCCCTCAATGGAGAAGAGGGAAGGAAAAGGGGAACGATGTTACCGGTATGCACAGACTGCAGTGGGCGGGAAGCGGACCAGTCAAGCCAAGCACATCTAAAGGAAACCAAAGAGCTCAAACACAGTATGTTAGGTCCAATGGTCAGCCCAATAAGATATCATCCAAACCAAAAGAAAACAAACCAAACCCAAACCGGGTTACAATCTGACTCAAAACACAAGAAAGAAAATCAAACTGTGGTGGGGTTGCCTTCCCACAAGCGCTTCTTTACCGTCGTTTAGCTGGACGCCCATGGTGGATACTCAGGGCGGTGCAGGAACAGGTGCCTCCAAGAGCGGATCCACGTCGCTCTTGAGGTACAGCTTCAGGTTGTGGCCATGCACCCGACGGATGCGACCACCATCATCAGTCAGCTCGACCTGGCCATCTGGCAAGATGCAGGCGAGCGAGTACCCAGACGGCCAGGGTGGTCGTGGTGCAGGAGGTGGGACCAGCTCATAGTGGTCTCCACTCTTCTTCCGTGCAGGCTTAGCAACCTGCTGCTTCGGCCGCCACTCCTCCTTGAGCTTTTTGTTCGGAGGCGAGGCTGGATGGAGTGGCGGCGAAGGAATGATAGGAGGGTCCTGCAAAATAGGAGGTGCAGAAGGGTACACGACAGACTCGTGTACCTGATCAGAAATGGCATGCACAGGCGTGACAGCAATCATAGCACAGTGATCAAACTCAGTCACAGAAAAAATAGCATGTTCATTCCCAGCACGCAAGATCAATTTACCATCATGCACATCAATAAGTGCCTTGGCGGTGGCAAGAAATGGCCTACCTAGAATCAAAGGCACATCCACATCCTCATGCACATCAAGAATAACAAAATCAACATGATATGTGAATGCACCGACACTGACAAGCAGATCCTCTATGATTCCCCTAGGATGCACAATGGAACGGTCAGCGAGCTGAATGCTCATCCTAGTAGGGCTAAGTTCACCTAAGTCTAGCTTCTTAAACAACTTATATGGCATGACATTTATGCTAGCACCTAGGTCCGCCAAGGACTTGCCTACATGCATGTTGCCAATAGTGAGAGGGATAGTAAAACTCCCTGGATCCTTGCGCTTCTCGGGCAGCTTGTTCTGCAGGATAGCAGAACACTCCTCACTGAGCATCACTGTCGAAAGATCCCCAAGTTTCTTCTTGTCGGTGAGGACGTCTTTCATGAACTTGGCATACTTGGGCATCTTCGACAATGCCTCCACGAACGGTATGCTGATGTTGAGCTGCTTCAACATTGCCATGAACTTGGCAAACTCAGTCTCCAGCTTGTCTTTATGTAGGCGAGTGGGGAAGGGAAGCTGGGGTACATGCTCCTTAACCACTGGTTGTGGCTTGGGAGCAGGGGCTTCCTTCTCCACCCGCACTTCTGCATCGTCGGCTGGAAGTGCTGAAGCAGGCAGTGGTTCCTCCTGTCTGGCCGGGACATGATCAGTCGATATTGTCTTACCGCTCCTGGTAAAAAATGGCATCCAGCTGCTGATGCTGGTGAGGATCTCGAGGATTCGGGACAGTGGTGGCAGGCAAAGTCCCCGGTGCCCTGGTGGTGTTCTGGCGGGCCAAGATGCCCACCTGGGTCTGTAGATCCTGCAAAATGGCACCCTGGTTCTTCTGACCTGCCTCCAGCGAGGCTACACTCTGGTCCAACCTCGTGATAGTCGCCTGAGTGCTCGTCATGAATGAAGCTAGAATGTTTTCCAGCTTCGTCATCCTGTCATCTGGGGCGGGAGCTGCTGCTGGCTCGGCAAACTGGCGCTGGGGCTGCTGGAATGGCTGCCCCTGCCTAGGCTGGTAGGGATGTCTCTGCTGAAAACCACCTGCTAGTGCTGGGAAACCACCTGCTGGTGCTGGGAAACCAGGTGGTTTAGTGGTGTTGCTGCTCCAGGCGAAGTTGGGATGCTGGCGCCACCCCTCATTATATGTGTTACTGTATGGATCGAGGCGCCGCGCATTGGCGATGAAGGCCAACTGCTCCTGGGGTGTGGTAGACTCCCTCATAGCCTGGCAGTCCTCCACTAGGTGATTGGAGCTCTCACACCACTGACACTGAGCAACTGGAGGTGTAGCCAAACCTCTGCCCGGAATAAGACTGTTGGGCTGCTTCAATGTCTGCACTAGCTCAGCTACCTGCTGCTCGAGCCCGGATCTGGTCTCCATGGCGTGCACACCACGGTCCCGGGACTGTCTGCCTCGGCTACCCTGTCCCCAAGAATGATCTCTGGCAGCCAAAGTACTGATCATCTGGTTCAGCTCGGGTGGAGTCTTAGTAACAATATCCCCTCCTGGGCATAGAGACTCAATCACCCTCTGGCTATCTGGAGAGAGGGCACTGTAGAAATTCCCCACTGTGAATGCATCACTGAAGCCATGATGGGGGCACTGCCAGAAATATCCCATGTACCGTTCCCATGCATCACGAAGTGACTCATCTGGCTCTTGGCGGAAGTGAGTGATCTCCCGCTGAATCTCTGTAGTCTTCGATGCCGGATAATACCTGTGCACGAACTTGTCAGCTAGATCGTCCCAAGAGGTGATGGACAATGGGGGCTGGGTCTCCAACCACCTCTTAGCATTCCCCGCCAGAGAATGGGGAAAGAGATGAAGGCGGATTGCATCATCCGGGACACCATTCAGCTTGAACCCGTTCGTCAGCTGCAGAAAACGGGCAAGATGCACCCTGGCCTCCTCATTCTTCAAGCCATGGAACTGGATGGAAGATGTAATGAGCTGAATCCAGCATGGCTTGATCTCGAAGTTGTTTGCTGGGATAGGCGGGTAGAGGATGACCGGGCGGATGTCAGCAATCCGCGGAGTGTAGTAGTACTCCAAGGTGGGACCTGGCTGCGGTGGATGATGAACTCCATGATCCTGGGGTATGGGGTTGTTCCCCAGGACCTGATTCACCGGGGGAGCCTGCTGAGGATTCCCCTGGTGTTGATTGTAGTCTCCGTCCATCCTGTACTCTTCTTCAGAATCGCTACTCAGGTGGCCGTCTATGCGCTCTTCCGTAGCCAGTCTAGCTCGCTGTTGTCTCCTGAGTTGGCGACAGGTGCGGTCAATCTCTGGATTCAACGACAGTAAACCTCCCGACTGGCTACGGGTCATGCACTACCTGCACACACTCAAGCAGCAAACCCGTGAAGGCACAAGTGGGACAAAGCAAACAAAGCAAAAAGAAAAGCTAAATTAACAGAAATCACTTTTCTTAAACAACCTAGCCGTCCTAGGAAACGGCGCCAAAAACTTGACTCGACTCTACTGTCACTCCAGGAATTGGCCAAGTGAAACCACTTCCTAAAGCGTAGTATAGCGGATTAGGTTTATATGTCAACCCGGGTCCTAGATATGATGACTACTCAGTGAATTCGTGTTATCTAGCAATGAAACTGGAATGCAAGTCTAAACTATCAAACAAACAAAGCAAGTAAACTGTTGTATTCAAGTTAAAGAGGTCACCCGGATATGGTTCCCCCTAGACTGCAGTTAAGCCGGATTGTAATTACCAAGTTCAGTTTCTATGATAGTTATACTGCGGACGGTTCTTAAACAGCCTGAAGTCTCGACTAAAGGTCTTCAGACCCTCTCAATCTGAATCTCTAGCGGGCGACTAACCTCCACCGGAGTAGACAGATTGAGGCCCTAAGAACAAAACCTCCACTACCGGAGTAAATCCGGTATAGAATAGTGAGTTGGTTCCTCGACTAAAGTCACCAACTCCCTACCTTCAATCAAGGATACTCTATCAACCTAGGCAGATATTCTCATTCTAGGTTAAAGCAGAAACAACAGGAATTTGATCAGGATTCAAGTCATTCAATCATTAAAACCTCAATCGAATATAATCAATCACAGAATCAGTACTTGGGTTCATACAATCAAAGCCTAACATACAAATCTAGGGTTCTCCATACCCAGATGAATGGGAGAACTACTCCATGGAGAAGAAAGCAAAAGCAGAATCAGACACGGAATTCATACTGCGAAGGACGGATTCCGGCTCCTGGACGTTGATTGGCACTTCTCCAAGCTCGAGCTGGCCTCCAATGGTGTTGAAGATCAATCTAGGGCACTTGGGAACTCTTGCTCGTCACTTTCTCTCTCTAGGAATCGTTCTATCTCTCAAAAACTCGAATCCCCCTCTGTTTGGCTGAAAATCTGCTTAAAAGGGCATCAGCCAAAGCACGGTCGAGGGCACGGCCGTGTAATGCCTCAGCCCGCCCGTGCTTTGGCTAGTGTTAATTACACGGCCAGTGCATTGGGAGAAACACGGCCGTGCTTTGGTGGAACACGCCCGTGCTTTGGCAGAACACGCCCGTGCTTTGTTTTGGCCCTGCCCGTGTAATCAGCTCAGCTCTCGGCATAAAAAGCACGGCCACAGAACACGGCCGTGTACTGTTTTAGGTGTGCCCGTGTTTTGGCTCCAGCTTGACGAAATGACCTCCGAATGCCTCGAAACTCGCGCTTAGCCTTCCCTTTGACACCTGGGACCTGAAACATGACAAAATAGCACAACCCGGCGTAAAATAGGCCAAAATACACGACTATGCCCCTCAAACGGATAAGAACTAAGGGCGCAAATATGTGCAATTACATCGTTATCAGTCTTCCTCTATTCATCATCAACGGCGACAAGCCGAGTTGCAGAGAGACCAATCAGCTGCTTAAGTGAAATGATTACCAGAAGAAGGATGGGAAAAAGGGACTTGAACAGATGTGAAACTCAGAAAGAAACACGAGCTAGCAAATTGGGTAGTTGATGATTGCATTTCACTCGCCAAAAAGCACTTTAAAACTAATCCACAAACCTACCCCGCCATGCCCATGGCCACACAGAGGGTCCAACCCACAGTTTGTAAGCAGAACAAAGAGAGAGAGAGAGAGAGAGAGAGAGAGAGAGAGAGAGAGAGAGAGAGAGAGAGACAACAATAGACTAATCAGAGTTATTAGTCAATTGCAGCAGCTTTTCCCTCCATCCCCAGAAAGAAGTCGGACGGAAAACAGAGAGACGCAGAGGACCTGGGTTGATTCACTAACACAGGCAGCTAGGGAATGAACGGGATCAGTGATCATCAAAGGAAGAGAAATCAAAGAAGCTCCCTCAACAGCAGATCTACTCGTTTGTTTCCCGTCTTGAGCGCATCTCACATTAATGCCCAAACCCATTTGCAGCCCTGCCAGAGTCTCCGAACCCAACAAACAGCGCGACCAACACCATCACCGCAGTCCCTCTGCCGGCGCCGACGCCCAAAATTACCAACACCGGTTGATGAAGAAACACAGGCCGATGCTATGGGGGGAGACGAAGCAGAGCAACAAACAGGTTCGGGTACGTAATATCTAAAGTTCGGAACCCACTCCTCCTAAGGTGACTTGTGCTGGGCAGATCAAAGTCAGGCACCACCACAAGGCCGATTGCAAGAGCTGACAGTCTGTTATGCAAGATCTTGAGAGAATCCACCATCATCGAAAGCAGCAAAGTAAGAGGTCATCAGCTACAACTAGCAATTGGGCGGAGTCTCTTGGGTGCAAGAAGGAAGCCCTGCATTTCCTCACTTGTCTCAGCAGGAGCATCCGATTCGATCTCCATCTCTGCTTAACCAAACCTCTGCCCTCCTCTGCTTTTTTCACCGATTTCAGTAGCGCTTCAGTTTCTTTTACTTTCTGGGTCTGATTGAATTAACAACCTTTTTTTGGCTTCCCTCCAAAACAGTAAGCTTTCTAGGCACCATCTGGGAATGGGAAATCCAATCCTGATTAGGATTCAAACCCAGGAATTGAATGCAACATAAATTTTTGTCGGGTGCATAGGTGACACACATTTGTCTACACGAATATGTCCTGTCAAGTGGCAGCTCTGTCCCTCCAAAATATGGGAGTTTGAGTTACATAAGAGAAGTATCTCATTGGGATTTTAACTCCCCAAATGAATTAGTGCATTGTGACTAGACATGTGATCTCTAGACGTATCATTAATTCATTATCAGGACGAATATGAATGAATTAACAAGTTAAAATTGGAATCCTATCATGGTATCCTTAAAAAAAGTGAATTGACTCTATCCTTGTTTAGAAGGTTATTAGAAGATTTGAATGTAACATGCTATATATGCTCTTTCACCACCAAAGTTGTGGTTAATACTCCAAGACAAAAGAATGGGTAATGTTAGTCGCTTTGTTTCTCATGACTTGTTTGGTTTGTAATGGTCTCTTTCACATCATTTTTTGTTTTAATGTTTTTGGGGTAGGTTTGACTGTGAAGTTTTGTGTTGAAATTGATGAGATGTGGTGACTGTTTGGATGAGTGTGCACGAGAAATGAAGAAAAAAGTGGTTGATTTTCCTAACCTTCTTTTTCCAATGTTTTTCGTAATATTCTTATGTCTTGGTCATTTACATTTTCAGCTTAAGAGTCAAGAGGAGAGGCTTGAACTAGCTTTGTATCTGTTGAACAATGAGGAGAAAATTGTTTGAGATTATCTTCATCAAAAAGTAGTCATAGTATTGGACGACATGATTCTCTTGAGGGCATAGTGGAAAGGATTGAGACTCTTTAAGTAATTAGGAAAATGCGGGACATTGCCTAATTACTTGGGAGTCCCACTCTTTCACTCTACCCTCCACAAAATCACCTCGTCCAACGCTTTCCATGACTACTCTCTAATGGAGATTATCCACAATCATACTCTCTTCATTGGTCTTTATATACAGAGCTAGTTCTAGTCTCTCCTCTTCACCGTCAAACTGGAAATGTAAATGAAAGAAGGCACAATACGAAAAACATTGTGTGTGTGTGTGGAGGGGGGGGGGGGGGGAGATGACGGGAAAGAACCACCTTCTTCTTCATTTCCCCCGCATACTCATCCAAACATCCGCCACATCTCATCAATTTCAACACAACATACGCACAATCTAACCTACCTTAAAAAAATATTAAAACCGAAAATGATATGAAAGAAATTATTAAAAACACATAACTAATGAGAAACAAAGCGAATAACATTGCCCACTCTTTTCCCTTGGAGCACTAACCACTACTTTGGTGGTGACAGGAATCTTCCAATAATCTTTTAAAAAGATAAGGGATAAGAGTCCAACTCATTCGCCTACATGAATTACATCATACTTCACCTTATACGCAAATTATATAGATAAATACTTTTACATTACGAATATGACTTACGACATATGTAAGTGTTTCTTCCCTCCTAGATCCACACAGTTTGGAAATGAATCCCTTATTTGAATCACATTTTTCTTAAGGTAAAAAAGCACTAAGAAAGAAGTGCATGTCTAGCATAACGTGAAAAAATTTGAAATGTACATTTGTACACAAAATACTTAAAAATTCAACATAAATACTTTTAATCATGAAATTCTATGAGGTTCTCAACAAATGTAAGAGTTACATTTTCACAATCACTACAATCCTCAAAACTGGATTGCCCTGCACTTTCCTACCACACTAGCCTAATTACTTAATAAGCACATTTTATTCGAGCTTTCATACCAAACCTTTTGCCAACTGGGGGAAATTTGAGAATATAATTGATGTTTAGAAAATTTGAGACACTTGAGATTGGGGATTGCTAATTGTTGCCCTGATTATAATCGTCCTAACCTAAAAATTACGACTTTAACCTTTTTTTATCGCAAGTCTTCTCTCTCACCTTCGTTTTCCGTTCCGGAACAAATATCAAATCATGGAGTGCCATTGCAGGCCGTTGGAGCTCTCCAGCAGGCAATAATCTTTTGATTGGCTTGGATCAAGACTACTTTTTTTCCTTGTATCTCTACATACATTCTTTCTATTTCTTCATCCTCAGCAGATTCATCTTCGCCTCCTGCCTCGCCATATGCTTCCTTGTCAAAGCCGTACTGTATTCCTTTGCCAAACGCCTCTCGTCTTCCATGGTCAACTCGTACTTAAGAATTTATCGGCATCCACCAATCCAAGCGAGATCAGGTTGAATCTCGGAGTTCCGATCTTTGATCTCAATCTAACTTCTCCCGATCGGCCTCCAGCTTTAGGTACCGAACCGGAGTCGGCACATTTATCTAACTTCATTCTCGCGATTCAAAACATCTCTCATCCTTTGATATGAATCTTCTCGTCTCCTCCGCCAGTTAATTCTCGTCGTCTGAGCTCCATTGATGGAGTAGGAATAAAGAAGGAAAAATCGAGTAGTGATTTAGGGCTTTAGTCATACGATGTCGAGCGTAGTTATTGGGTTGTTTAATTATTTGATTTAAGGATAATTTAGTAATTTTAACTTTAAATTTATGGCGATAATAGTAAAACCAGGGCGATATTTAGCCATCCAGTTGAGATTTGACACAAAAACGTAAACCGTGGGCACTCTTCATTGATATTATACAAAAAAAAAATGTATCGTGCACTTGCATACTCATTACAAAAACTGTCACCTCGTAAAATCATTCGTAGCTTGATTAAGCTTCTGCCGAGTTGCGTTGACCAGATATAGTAACTCCTAAACTCCGGTTATTATTAGCGGCTAATTAATTAACTTCATTAACACAAAAATTAACCTTAAATAGATTCCTGGAAACGAGACTACCTACATTGGATTGGATTTTAATTCTACGAATTTAGAAACCAGATTCATTGTAACCAAATTTCACAAGAACGGTATAGATTGCATGTAGATACCTTGCAAGCTGCAGAGATGAGACCGAACAGATTAATCAGATCCCCGAATATGATCGTCCTGACCGGCTGCGAGAGATCTCGTTCCCGATTCCGCCGAGACTCCTGACTGCGATCGACGCAGCATCCAGCCCGCCGGCGAGCGCGAACGATCGGTAGAACGCGAGCTTCTACTAGGTTAAGCAGCTGTTGGGAAGAACGAAATGGGGCTTAATCATTGAGAGAGCAGCTTGCTTCTCTCTTCCATTTTATACTCTGTAAACTCAGAGTTCACTTACAGTAAAAAAGGAAAAGTTTAACAGTAAATTTAAATTGTCCAAATAAAAAAAACGACACGTGGAGCTTCTTCATTCTTCTTTTATCAACGGCTACGTCACTATTCTTCACAACGTCACCATTTCACTTCCTCTGTTTCTGCACTTCATCAGCAACTCAGAACTCTGCACTTTCTTGTTCTTCTCTGCTGCTGCTGCAATCAATCTGGTCTGTTACTCCCCCACATGTTGGCGAGTGCATATCAACAACTCCCAACTTGTCCAATAAGTATTTCAAACTGTAACGAGTCATCCCCTTCGTAAACATATATGCAAGTTGATCATCATTTCTAACGTGACTCAATTTAATCATCCCTGACTTCAATCTCTCCCTTGTAATGTGACAGTCTATCTCAATATGTTTTGTCCTCTCATGGAAGACAGGATTTTCAGCAATATGCATAGCTGAACGATTGTCACAGTATACCTTAATGGGAAGCTCTACCTTTACATCCATTTCAGCCAACAGGTTCCTCAACCATTGTAATTCACAAACCAAATGAGCAAGAACTCTATATTCTGCTTCTGAGGATGATCTGGACACTGTGGTATGCTTCTTCGATTTTCAAGTAATCAAACTCTCCCCCAGTAAAGTACAATACCCTGTCACATATCTCCTTGTATCTGGGAAACTTGCCCAGTCTGAATCTGAGAAACCAGATAACTTCAAATCAGACTTGACTGGAAACATCAAACCTTGGCCAAGAGCATGCTTCAAGTATCTGAGAATTCTATAGGCTGCTGAGAGGTGTTCACTGTAAGGGTCCTTTTGAAACTGGCACAACTGTTGCACAGAGAAGGTAAGATCAGACCTGGTTATGGTGAGGTAATACAATCTTCCAATTAATCTTTTGTAGACTTCTGGATTGGCTAAGGGCTCCCCCTGCTTGGCTGTCAATTTCACTTTGTAATCGATGGGAGCAAGACAATCCTTAGCATCTAAATAACCTGTGTCTGTAAGTAATTCCAGGCAATACTTCCTCTAATTAATATGAATACCATTGTGATCTCTATAAACTTCTAGTCCAAGAAAGAACTTTAAGATTCCCAAATCCTTGATTTTGAACTCCCTTCCAAGAAATAATCTCAACTGCTCAATGTCTCCCAATGAACTTCCTGCAATTAAAATATTATCCACATAAACTAGGAAAACCAGAACTCTGCCTTGTGTCCTTTTAACAAACATGGAGTAATCAGAAGCTGCTTGGGAGAAACCATGTTTGAGCAAAGAACCCGCCAGCTTAGCAAACCATTGCCTACTGGCTTGCTTCAATCCATATAAGGATTTCTTTAGCTTGAGAACCATCCTCTGGTCTGGTAATTCCATTCCTGGAGGAGGTTTCATGTACACTTCCTCATGAAATTCCCCATGGAGGAATGCATTAGACACATCCATTTGATGTATGTGCCAGTCATTAGCTGATGTAACTGCTAACAAAACCTTAACTGAATTGATTTTAGCAACTGGGGAAAAAGTATATAGGAAGTCTATCCCATAAATCTGAGTAAACCCCTTAGCTATAACTCTGGCTTTGTGCCTTTCAATGTTCCCATCTACTCTAAGCTTAATTTTGTACACCCACTTGCATCCTATTGCCTTTTTACCAGGAGGAAGGAAGGCTGGTTCCCAAGTCTAGTTTGCTTCCAATGCATCCCTTTCCTCATTCATAGCTTCCCTCCAACATAGTTCTAAACAAGCCTCATCATAAGATCTAGGTTCCACAACTATCATCACATTCATTACATAAGTCTTATGTGCCTGTGGCAACTTGTCATAAGTGACATAGTTCTCCATTGCATACCTATGCACAGCTCCTACTTTATAATCCTTGTGCCACACAGGAATGGCTTTTAATCTGTCAGATCTTCTCACTGCTGGCTCATCATCAACATCAGCTTGCTCAACCAGTTCATCAGGCTCCCCCTCAGAATGTGGTCCAGAAGCCTCAAAGAAATCAGGAATAGGCTCAGACAGTGTGTCAGGACAAGGAAGAGAAGTGGAAGTAGGTGCCGAAGAAGAAGAAGTAGAAGTAGAAGATGAGGATGATGGTTTTGAGGGAGATGGAATCACATTCTGTGATAGAGAAGGTGATGTTGAAGGCAGAATGTGATAAGTTTTAAGGAAAACAACTTCTACAGGGTTAGGAATGAGTGAAGGGATAGGAGTAGGTGAAGAAGATGCAGTATGAAAAGGGAGAATAGTTTCATGGAAAATGACATATCTGGAGACAAAGAAATGGTGAGTGTTCAGGTCAAAAAGTTTATATCCTTTGGTTCCAGAGGGGAAACCAAGGAATACACATTGTCTAGCTCTAGGAGTGAATTTAGTTCGATCCCTGAGTAAGGTAGAGGCATAACACAAACTGCCAAAAACCTTTAAATGGGACAATTCTGGAGGTTTCTTGTAAAGCAGTTCAAAGGGATAAAGGTTTTCAGTGACTGGGGATGGCAATATGTTGATAAGGTGAACAACATGGAGTATGCAGTCACTCCAAAATGAAGAGGGAGGCCTGATTGGAACCTAAGAGCTCGTGCAACATTGAGGATATGTTGATGTTTCCTCTCAACACGAGCATTCTGCTCAGGTGTCTCCACACAGGAAGTTTGATGCATGATTCCATGAGAAGAATAAAAATCAAGCACGTGGAACTCATTACCCTGATCACTTCGAATCACTTTAACTGCTTTGTCAAATTGTTTGTGAACCATAACACAAAAAGACTTTAAAAGATCACCAGCCTCAGACTTGTGTTTCATTAAAAAGGTCCAAACACTCCTAGAGTAATCATCCACCAATGTAAGGAAATAAGAGTAGCCATCATGAGACTTTACAGCAAGAGGTCCCCAAATGTCTACATGAACTAGATCAAAGAGAGACTGAGCTCTACTATCACTGTCTGGAAAAGGAAGTTTCCTTTGTTTGGAAAAATGACAGGTTGGACAATGAGTAACTACAGTCTTATTACAACCAATAACTTGTTTCTCTCTATCTCTACCAGGATGGCCTAGTCTCCAGTGCCAGAGGTCAAGGTGATGTGGTTCAAAGTTGTAGGTGGCTGCTACTTGGTGAGATGGTGTGGCAGAGGAAGAGCTTGGCAAGGAAATGAGGTGATAGATGCCTTTAATTTGTCTTGCTAAACCAATATGGGTCTTGGTTGTCAGGTCCTGAATATGACAAGAGTCATATTCAAATGACAAAGAAAGGGGAAGGTCGTGTGTAAGCTTGCTTACTGAGATTAAGTTAAATGTGAAGCTGGGGACTAACAACACATTTTGTAAGGACAAACCAGTAGGAGTTTTTGCTCTCCCTATATGACTCACTAAGACACTATTTCCATTAGGCAAGTGGACAAACTGATCAACCACAGGTTTAGCATCTACAAAGAATGATAGTGAGCAAGCAATATGGTCTGAAGCTCCTGTATCTAAAATCCAAATTTGAGCTAGTGCCATCAAACCAGCATAGTTGGGAAACAGAGGCAATTGCTGTGAAACAGAATAGGCAGCATGCTTGATGGAAGGAGAGAGTGGTGGAGAAGGACTCATGTTGTCTGACTGCTGAAGAAGGAACTTAAGCTTGTTAAGCTCATCACTGGTGAAGCTAATGGATCCTGGAGAAGAAGCTTTGTTGTCAATGCTGTGGTTGTGGCTGTGTGTTGAAGAGTTGGAATCACCACTGTGGGATTCAGGTTTCCAGTCAGGTTGTGAGATTGAACCTGCTATAGGGTTACCACCAGACATCCTTGCAACCTTGTTCTTCAATCGATAACATTATTCTTTGAGATGGCCATCCTTCTTACAAAATCTGCAAAACTTTCCTCCTCTGTCTGAGTCAGTAAAGTTCTTGTTGTTCTTATCACCTTCATTATAGTTTGATTTCCTTGTTCCATAAGTAATGGCAGCCAGTGCTACAGATTGTATGCCCCTGGTACTACCTCCTTTATCTCCTTTCAACTTCTGTTCGTGTTGGAGTAAGTCATATACTGCTGAGTCCACAGTAGGAAAAGGCCTCATCATGAGCAGTTGAGTCTGAATTACATCATATTCAGGTCTCAATCCTCGTAGGAACTTAATGAGATATTCTGTTTCTTGCTTCTCTTGAAAAGCAGTAACTGTTGCACAAGGCCTGGTTCTTACAGCTACACAGTCACATTCAACAATTGGATTGAAGAGTAGATTCTCTTCCCGTAACCCTTTAAAAGCTATGTAGTATTGGGTAATACTTTGAGTACCCTGCTTTCATCGTCCAATATCTTCATGTAAGTTAGCTAGACGCAAAGCATTTGAAGTACCAAATCTCTTCTTCAATTCATCCCACACAACCTTAGCGTTTTCATGTTGTAAAACACTTCGGCTAATATCCTTGTGCACAGAATTGAGTATCCAACATAAGACCATAGTATTGGAAGCATCCCAAAGTAAGAAATCTCTATGTGTACGATCAAGCATAGGAAGAGACCCATCAATAAAACCCAATTTATGTTTCGTCTTCAAAGCCAATCTTACAGCTCGCTGCCAAGTTTGATAGTTTGATCCATCCAAAATTTCCGTAACAATCGATTGACCCAGGTTCTCACCAAGGTTAATATAGTAGGGATTACCAAATTGAAGACCCAGAGGTTGGTTTCCTCCAGCTTGCTGTTGTTGGCCACTGTTGTGAATTTGACCACCACTGTTGCTGCTCGTATTGAAAGTGCCAAAAGGAATAGCACCGGATTGAGGCATTCCAGGTGGTGTCTTCATATGTGCTATTTGCGAAGCGGAAAAGTGGATCAACGTCGCTCTGATACCATAATAATATTGTGAAGCAGCAGCTAGGTTAAGCAGCTGTTGGGAAAAACGAAATGGGGCTTAATCGTTGAGAGAGCAGCTTGCTTCTCTCTTCCATTTTATACTATGTAAACTCAGAGTTCACTTACAGTAAAAAAAGGAAAAGTTTAACAGTAAATTTAAATTTTCCAAATAAAACAACGACACGTGGAGCTTCTACATTCTTCTTTTATCAACAACTACGTCACTATTCTTCACAACGTCACCGTTTCACTTCCTCTGTTTCTGCACTTCATCAGCAACACAGAACTCTGCACTTTCTTCTTCTTCTTCTTCTCTGCTGTTGCTGCAATCAATCTGGTCTGTTAAGCTTCTCCACCTTCTTCTTCTTTCCCGGCGACGCCGGGCTACGGTCTTTTTCCGCGGGAAGAGTGAGAAAAACGGGAATAGGAGGAATTGAAGTAGAGAGGGGGAAAAGAAAGGCGACGTGGGAGGAGGGAAGAAGAGAGTGGAATTGGAAGGAAGTGTGTTTTATGTGGGAGAGTAGAGAGACGGAATCAGTCAGGTTATAAAGTAGTATAGTAGTCCACGAGAAGCGGTTGAGAACTTGAGCGGAATCGTAGAGAGTTGGAAGATTACACAAAGTCGGACTGGTGTTTCCGGACGAACTTTTCATTGATGTGCTGAAAAAAAGGAATTGGGTAACAGAAGGGTTCACTTGAACTATAACAACCTGTTTGGATAGGCAAAAAACTCAAGAGTTGCCATTTCATTTTCAATTTTAATTCCATATTTTATGTTTGGAATGATAAGAATGTTGAGAAATGAATTACATTTAGCCTAAGTTTTGGGAATTACAATTCCTATCAAAAGTGGTAAGAATTGGGTTTATGAAAATGGAATTAGTGGGTCTCATCATTATTTATTATTATTTTATTAATAAAATTTCACTCTACTCTCTTTCTGTATCATTCATAGTCAATTTCCCAAGATAAAAAAACATATTATATTATTAATTATAGTTAAAAGTGCAATTCATTTCCATAGTTGTAGAAATTATACCAAATACAAAAGCTGGAAATGGAATTCTAGAAAAAAGAAAAAGAAAATGGAATTTCACTTCCATTTCTTCGGCTTTATCTGAATTTTTGGTATTGGGTCGTGAGGAGTTAGCCCAGTCCGAATCTAACCTCCGAAGCGGCCCATATTCCCAATGCCACGTCATATGTTGTCTTTTACGAGTAGGATAGGGAAAGGAAGAGAAAAGAAAACCCTGGTAATCTATGAACTAGGTCAATAAATACTATGTTCCAAATTTTAGATTTGTTCGAAATTTATTTCTAAATATAATAAAATAGAAATGTGATTATATTGTTTAAAATTGTAATATCTTTTTAGTATTGTTTAAAATAAAATTAGCTATTGGCTCTCAAATTTTCATATCATTTACTATATCATGTTCATTTTGTTGTCAAAGCTAGTTCATTAAGCATTTTTTTTTGTGTGTGTCATTATTTAACACGAATAGTTTTTTTTACACACAAAGAGCAAAAATATTATATGAGAATGTTGAATAATGACTAGCGATAAATCATCGCCTCACTCGCCTCCTCGTTTCTACTTATTCTCCGCCACCACTCTCTCCCTCCTTTGCTGCTACTCTCTCCCTCCTCTCTGTCTAGTGCTCTCTCAGAATAATTTGCAGATAACAGTCGTCACCAATCCCTTGATTTCTGACTTCCTCGCCGCTTCTACTGCGTGCTCCGCTTGTCTCCCGCTGGTGCCTGGCACTATCTCCCTCCCCTCTGACTCTTGCTCTCTCGTAAGAATCCACATAAGACGGCCGCCACCATTCCCTCTATCCGGCTCTTGCCTCTCAGGCTTCGCTCTCTGCTTCGATTTGCGACTTTCCTCTCCGCCTCTACTGACCGCTCTTTGCTCCGCCTCCACGTCGAATCAGCTGTGGATGGACTTTGCATGTCGGCGAGCTCCTCTCCTCAACCGTTGTGGTGTCAGCGTGAATGAGAAGATGGTGGAGTGATGGCTAATTTGATGGCAGACGGCGAGGCGGTGGCGACCGCTATGTGAGGTTGGAGAGGATGGGTTGGCGGCCGCTGTGTGAGGCTAGGGTTTGGACAAGATGGGGGTTGGTTGTGGTTGGGTGTTTCAATGGGCTAGAGAGTGATTGTGGGCTGGGTTTTAGTGGGCTAGGGTGGCTGTTTGCCTGGTTTTAGTGGGCTAAAGAGTGGCTGTGGGTTGGGTTGAGATTTCATTGGCCTGTGGGTAGGGCTCGAAGTTTGGTACCGATATTTGGGATATACCGAATACCGTATCGAATTTGTCTATATTTGGTATTACTGAATGCATGTATTATTATTTGGGATTGGGATTGAGATTGAATTTTAATTGTTATTCGGTATTAGAGATTACGGGATTGGGATCAGTATATACCGAAATACCGATCAATACCGAAATATAAGGTAGTGTGTATTTTATCCTCTCAACTAGACTCTCTCATTCACTACTACACGAACCTAAACCACTAAGAGTGTCATTTAATTATACATATATCATTCTATCACTATTAATAGTCCTCTCTCAACCTCCAATTCGTCAAATTAATGATTACCAATGACAAGAACTTGAAATGTCTCCTCTCCTCCATTCTCCTTAATAATATCCTAATTCAAGACACTTTGCTTAGTATTTTCCCCCTAAATTAAACAATAAAATCTAATTTATATATTTAATTATTAATTGCAAAGGTAATTAATTTTGTATTCGATAATACCGATTGGGATCCCGAAATATTTAGGGATTGGGATACCAAAATTATTTAGGTATTGAGATTGGGATTGACTTTAGGGTGTAATTCGGTATTTGGTATTGGGATACCGATACCGTACCGATTTCCACCCCTACACGTGGGCATATTTTGGTTTTAGTTCGAAATTCAGAATTTTGGTTAAGTTGAAAGCATCCTGGTTTTCGAAGTAGCCAAATTTCTCTTTCGAATTCCGAACCGAACAACAAATTTTTTATTTCGGTTTGGTTTACTTCGATTTCGATTCGTGTTGGTTCAAGTTTACCGAACCGGATGTCCACCCCTAATCTATCTATCTATCTATCTATCTATCTATCTATACTATATATTATGGCAATTCAAAAATAACTTCTTGCCACATAAGCCCTTGGAGAATTCACAAGTTGCCAAGGTGGACAACTTTTTTGCAAACACAAATTCATTATTGATCTATTTATGGAGCTATCTCTCTCTTCTTTTAATATTTATACTCATTTTTACAAAAATTTATAATAAATTAAATTTTTATGAGAATGTAAACAAACACACAAAAGTATAATATTTTTGTCAATTAAAAAAAATATAAAGATGGAAATAAAGAGTGACTATATCGAATTTGTTTAACTAAAAAGTATATGATTAAATCTTATCAAGTAAATTTTCTACTTATTTTCACCAAAACTCAATAATAAGTTAAATTTTGAAAAAAATTTAAAAAAGTGCACATATATAATAATATTTGTATGAATTAAACAAATTATTACAATAGAAACATTGAAAACAAATGATTAAAAATTACACATATATAATAATATTTGTATCCATTAAACAAAATATTACAATAGAAACAATGAAAACAAATGATTAAAAAAGTACACACATATTTAACTAAAAAGTATATGATTAAATCTTATCAATTAAATTTTCTACTTATTTTCATCAAAACTTAATAATAAGTTATATTTTGACAAAAATTTTAAAAAGTGCACATATATAATAATAATTGTATGAATTAAACAACTTATTACAATAGAAACATTGAAAACAAATTATTAAAAAGTACATATATATATAATAATAATATTTATATCCATTAAACAAAATATTACAATATAAACATTGAAAACAAATGATTAAAAAAGTACACACATATATAATAATATTTTTTATCAATCGACTTTGAAAATGAAATATATGAATTTAGATTTTTTGTATTAACAACTCTCTTATTTCTAATGTATTTTTTTCGTCGAATTATTTATAATATATATTTCTATAAAATAAAACAAGTTTTATATAGCAAAAGGTCTGAATATAAACTTGACTAAGCAATGATAGTTCTTTCTTTAAAAAACTTCTTGTTCATCATGATTAAGTGAAAACATATATTCATGTTCTACCTTCATTTTCTCAAATTAAGAAGAATCAGGTGTGCAATACTTTATAATTTGTCCTAGGGTTCATATTAAAATATTCACTCTAGATCATATTAATTGAACAATCTCTATTGAGGCCATAAGTCGAATGCTAAGTAATTTCTTTTCAGATTTGGAGTTATTGTCGAACATTATTACATCAAAGTTTTCAAAATGACTTAAGTATGATTTTTGACGAGTTTTGACTTCATACATCGGATGAGACACAACATCACTTAAATAACAACACGTGTGAAGGTTAAGAAAATCCTCGTTGAGGATATACAATAAACATCACATTTCATCAATGACTAACCTTAGCATTGATCAAATAAGGGTTGAAAAAAATTATTTAATAGTTGATGTCTTGGTAGACAAATCTAAATTCTAGGATTGGGGCAATAAATAAACATAAGTGTGTTAGTTGAGATATCTAAACAAAAAACTTTTGTAGCTACAAGAATCTAAATTGAGGTATTGTGTTAAAATAAAGAATCTTTAATAATGATGAGTTTAGTAAAGCAATTGTAAGGAAACATTGGGGTCGTTTGCTTCGTGGATTTGAAAACTGAAGGTTTTAATAAAATTTGGATTTTGTAAAAGCATGGATATATGAGGGTTTTTGGTTCATTATGGATTTGAAAATACCATATTTCGTTTCATAGATTTCATGATGCATTTGGTTAATTGAATTTGTATGTTGGAAGTGAAATGACATATATTACCCTCACTGGTATAAGAAGGGAAATGAAATATGAGGGGTAGGTTGGTCATAAATAATAGACTTCAAAGTCCATGATCAATTTCCATCTAAAGAGGTGAAATTTTCAAGTCCGTGAGGCCCACGAATTTGGAACCTTAAAATACATGAGACCAACATATTTGTTGCCTCTAAATACATGAAGCAAGCAATGGTTGGACAAAGTTCACGATAGCTCCAAATTCATCAAGCAAACAACCCCAGCTATATGGTTGTGAGTCTGTGACTCCATACCAAATTTCGGCAATAACAAAAAAAATTTCAATATCGAAGTCTCAAAATGTAAATCTTTTGGTTTGGAACAGTAAACAATTTGTATTTAGATCGAGTTATCCTAGCCACAAAATTTCGTTTTCATATTTCAGTCGATGAGCCGAGTTCAAAGGTATTAATTAGGGTTAAAAATTAAAATAAAATCGTTGTACATATTCTTTGATATTGATAGATATATCTACAATACATTCAAGAATTCAAGTGTATGTAAAATGTCACAATATTTCTACGAGTTATTACATTTTATAAAAAAAATTCCAAGAAATCATAAATAATCATTACTTAATATTGTAGGAATCTAAAACTAATTTAATGCCACATCACTACATGGCTAGCTCTCACCCTTTCACGCTGGACAAGGTCTAATTGGTGTGCTTTTTTGCTTACTCTTTAAATTGTCATCATTATCAATAAAAAGTAAATTAAGTTACTAAAAATGAATGCAACATTTTGGTGTGTTCCTATTCCTTTTCCCATACAATATTGAAAATAAAACACAACATTGATAATGAAGAAACTAGATCAAGCCCCACAAAAACAAATAAAGTTCTCTTCTTATTTGCTTAAATTTTGAGTTTCTAGAATTTGTCTTCTCTACTTTTTTGTATATAGATATAGTAAAGGAAATTGCAAGGCATATTGAGTTTTTTCCCCCTCTTTGTAGGAGAATAGGAGACGGGAGTTACATGATGCAATGATTTGTAGGAAAAGAATTGAACTACTTTAACATATTTTTGCCTATTGACGAAGAAAAGTCCAACCTATCATTTCTCCCTCTTCCCATTGATCCGCAGCGGGCAATTGATCTTTCTTCCTTGGAGATATCTGACTGCTAGCGGTTGACTGACCGAGTTATAGTCTTCTTCCAATTCTTTTCTTAATTTCTTTCAGATTACGGCGACTGGATAGTAAATTTCCCTTTTCGATTCAATGGTTGTATTTCTTCTTCGTTATTCAGGCAGTTGTTTTATGGTTCTCTATTATCCTGTATACTTTGATGTAAACATGTAACATATAATTCAAAGGGTTTGTTGCTTGGACTTGGAGCATCTCTCCTTTGGTTGAATAATTGATCGTTTTCCTTGGAGGCCCATTGCAACTCGATTCCTTGGATGTTAAAATGGAAAGCAGAGTTGTGAAGGTTGTTCATTATGTTTATTATGTTCATGAGTGACATGATACCAGCTAGCTATATGACGATGATTTGATCAAGTAAATAGTAAAGGGCACGAAGAAGAAATAAAATTGTAGTAAATGTTGATATTTTTTTCCAATTTCTAGACGTTTGTAATGACATTGGTTTGTTTCCTTAGCGTGAATTTTGCCTAATTGAATCCCTAACTAAAGCTTGATTTTGGCCTGATTGTTTTCATAACAACTACTATTTAGATTGATGCATCAATCCGATTCTCAATGGGGACTCTGCAAGATATAATCACTTGAGTTTTATTGAAGTATACAACTTTTACTATTAATCTATGTTGTTATTAGGTAGAAAAACACGATCCTTTTGGTAGGGGTATGTAGCTCTCTACAAAATATAAAGGGTTAATACCCTAGTTTGGCACAGAGTTTAGCGTAAGTGACAGTTTTGGTCACGTTTTTCAAATAAGACATTTGTGGCATACTTTTGAAATGATTGAACAAATTTGGCCCAAAACTTGTATTGGCTGTTAATATTTACAGTCAAACATGTATTCCGTCAATAACTCAGCATCTAGTGCTAAGGTGGGAGTGATGTGGCTTCCATGTCATTTTTATTTCAATTCTTTTTTTCTAGTCTTTTTCTAGTTCTTAAAAACTTAAAAAATAAAAATAATAAACTCATTCTCAACCTCAATAAAGATCACAATCCTAATCTTCTTTTGCCGTCGGCATCGACGACAACCACCGCCACTCTCACTCCTTTTCCTCCCGACCCTCCTTTTACTTGGAACTCGTTGTCGTCTTTAATCGCCAACCCATTTCTAATCACCGACCACGAATCCAAGGGTAATTGGAAGGCGGATTTAGCATTTCCTCCAGATCGGTCTGAGGGAGAAGACGAACAACCACCAGTTCGTTCGTCTGAAGAAAAGACGAACAGAACCTGAATTGGGCGCGAATCCTAGGCCCTTTCTGCATATGAGGAGTAGCTCTAGACCTAGAAGGCGAGGCGGCAGCGACAGACTCTGCATCTGCCAATCCGTATTTGAAGGCATCGTTGTTGGGGTCGAATTCGAGCCCTTACGCAGCAATAGCATCCTGATACTAGGTGGTCAAGCCGAGATGAGTGGCGCCGAGGCGGGAGTAGCCCTTGGACTAGTCGAGCTTGAGCTCGACGGTCTTCTTGGCGTCGGCGTACTTCTGGATGGAGGCGTATGCCGCCGATCGGTTGGAATAGAGTACGTGGTTGGTGGGAGTGAGGGCGATGGCGTCAGAGAAGTGCTTGATGGCGGTGGTGTAATCGCCGGTGGATAACACCGCGTTGCCCTTTGCTTTAGCTTCGTCCGCCATCGTAGATTGCAAATTCGATTGATTGAAAGGATTAGAGAAAAGGGTTTTGCAGAATTGAACTATGATTAGCAAATACGATGTAGAAATTAAAGAAGGGTATTTATAGGAGGAGAGGAAGACGAGAGGAAGAGGAAGACGAGAATGTTCTAGCAATGGTGGTGAAGGAAAAGGAGTGAGGAGAGGAAGACGAGAATGTTCTAGCAATGGTGGTGAAGGAAAAGGAGTGAGGGTTGGAGAAAAGAGAGGGCTCTCTCGAAGAAGATGATAAGAAGTAGGGTTTTTAGGATTTCATTTATTTAAAGTTGTTTTTTATTTTAACTAATAAGTGACGTGGATGCCATCTCAGTACTAGATGTTTAACCGTTAATATTAACAGTCAACACAAGTTTCGGGCCAAATTTGTCTAATAGTTTCAAAAGTAAGTCATAAACGTCTTATTTGAAAAATGGGGCCAGAATTGTCACTTACGTTAAACTTCGGGCCAAACTAGGGTATTAACCCAAATATAAATTATGATTATATGTAGTTTAGTTTACTGAAAACATAGTTTTAATAAGTTAGTGACAAAAAATAGTTTTATTTGTGGTTGGTTTTGCTAGAATATTTTCAAGGTAAATTAAACAAATAAGCGGAAGATTGATGATGTGGATGCCAATGTGGTTTCTCATTCTTCCAAAATTACACGAGTAACTGATACTGCACGATATTTGTGGGATCTAGATCGCGATATTCTCTATTATCATATACCAACGTACGAGGAGAAGGTTGAGAAAATGAAAGCTCTTCACTTTTTTTTATCAATTGAAATATATTTGCAAATTTTAACTTCTTCTTTTGTGTCCTTCAAAATTTTAACTTCTTTGTCACTTTGTGTCCTAAAAAATTAATAATCTCTTAGTTTATATCTTAAATGGTGGATTCGATTCATAATTATAAATCAATAAAGAAAGTACTATAGATAGCTCATTTTCTCGCCACATCATCAAAACTTGTCATATCAAATACTTCCAACCCAACGGGCGGGTATAAAGCTAGTCTTTGTACTAAGACAAAACTTGGTTATTCACATTTATGTTCAATTCTCAAAAGATTTGGGGGTAAATTACAAAGTTGGTCATTGAGATTACTAAAAACGTTCATGTTTGGTCACTAGAAATATTTAATTCCATTAGAGGTCACTAAGATTAATTAAACAGTTCAATTTTGGTCACTCTCCGTTAGTCTCTGTCCAACTCTGTTAATGGAGTTAGTTAAGTGTTGACGTGACAAACAGAAGTGCTCTGTCAGCCTAACAGAAATGCCATGTCACTCGCCACATCATCAAAACTTGTCATATCAAATACTTCCAACCCAACCCTTAAAACTGGCTCGACCTATTAACCGACCCCAACACAGATCAACGCCACCATTCACTTCCGCTCATTCCCTCTTTCTACCCACTCTCTTTTTTGTTCTTCATCCGAGAAGCAAATGAATCGCAAAAAAAAAAAAAAAAAAAATTGACTCGCACACTCTTTTGTTCTTCATCTGAGAAGCAGAGGAATCGCCACCAATTCCCACTTTCTACCCACTCTCTCTTCTATCCTCCGAGCAGCTCTCTATTTGAATCCACAAAATTAAACCAGCAATAAGATAAACAGAATCACCACCAATCGCCACAAACCCAGAAAGAATGGGTACAAATCGAACGACGGATCTGGTATAATTGCGTAGGCGAGCTCGGAAAGAATTAGTACAAACCGACTCAGTTGAAGCCAAGAAAACTTCGACATTTAGCAGCTCCTACCTTCAGAAATACCCAGAAATCTCCCAATCAACTTGTTCGAGAAGCTGAAGAAGACTCGAACCCGCTAAAATGTCGATCTAATTTCTTTCTCATTTTCCATTACCCATAAAAATCTTGATCTTTATTTGTGGTCGTAATCCCAAAATTTAAAGATCCCACAATCCCTCTCTTTCTTCTTTCATCCATTCGTAGCAACCAAAAACCCCAAAATCAAAACCAAATCCCCCATCTCCCAACTACACTCCCGAAAACCTAAAACCACCAAGATGCAACAATCAACTGCTATTTATGTTGCTAATCGTTTCGAACCAAGAACCCAGTTTTGACTTCCCTTTTCTCTTGGATTGTTGTGATGTTGATGCAACATTGGGAGATCCGGCCACAACGAACCCACAAGAGGAGCGGACCTCGAAGTTTGGGAGGTAATCGTCAACGATGCGCTGGAACGAGAGTCGGCAGGAGTGAGCGGAGATGAGTGGCGGGAGGATGTTGGCGATTCGGTGAAGGTAGTAGGAGTGGAGGAGGCGGATTTTCTGGGGGAGATGGAGGGAGGAGGGAGGTCATGGTGGTGAACTCTGAAGGTGGGAAACAATCATTGGAGATGTAATTAGAGTCGGGTGGGGTTGGGAAGGGTTGGGTCACTGTTGGGAAGGGTTGTGTACTTGGAGTCGTGGGTTGTTTGGAAAAACTGACGTGGCGGGTTTTATTTTAATATTTTTGGGTTAAAATTAGGTGATTGCACATTTCTGTTAGCCACATCAGCCAAAAATTAACGCTGTTAATGGACACTAACGGAAGGTAACGGAGAGTGACCAAACTTGAACTGTCTAACTAATTTTAGTGATCACTAATGGAATTCAATATTTATAGTGACCAAACATGAATGTTTTTAGTAAACCCAGTGACCAATCTTGTAATTAACCCAAAGATTTGGCTATTTTGGGAGGATTGACGTTGAAACTTGAAACCCGAACCGGAAACGAACTTGAGCCGTCAATGCTGTGCACTGTGGTTAGTGATGGCAATTTCAACCCGCCCCGCGGGTATTACCCGACCTGACCCGTGATGGGGCGGGTATTACCCGACCCGCAGTAGCGTGGGGCGGGGCATGGGTATCTACTTCCGACCCATCTTGCCCCGCCCCGCCCCGTTCTAGACTCATTTTATCTCAATTTCTTACAATATCTATACATATTTCTCCTATTTTGACTTTTGTTCAACTAGTTAGAGTCGATCTTTCAACTTGTTAGGCTCAATTATCCATTCTATTATCAATATTTTTCATTCTTAAAGTGTTTTTCCTACGTTTTATTGTAAAAGGTAAAATTTACTTGTATATTTTTTTAACAACATGTAAGAGTGGGTCAACCAGCCCCGCCTCGTACCCGCGCGGGTTTTACCCGCCCCGACCCGTAATAGCGTAGGGCGGGACATGGGAATTGAGGTACCCGCCCCGCCCCATTGCCATCACTAACTGTGGTATGTAGAAAAATAAAGAAGGCCATGCGTTCGAGAACGAAGAGGTGGGCCGGGCCGGGCCTGCCGCACATATGTTTTTTTTTTTTAACGGGACATATGTTCTCTTTTTGAAAACTTTGTTTCGAAGTGAAGCAACGCCCTGCCGCAAATTTTCAAACTCAATTAAATACACAAACGGACAGCGGGAAACAGAAAGGCAAAAAAAAAAAAGGAGTCGCAGACTCGCAGCAGCAGTGCGAGGGAGTGGAGGGGGAACCAAAAAGAAAAAAGCCATTTTTTCCCCCCCGCCTCACTCTTTCACTCTCACTCGCGCCTCGGGGACTGTGCAGGCTAGCTATAGCTAAAGCTCGCCAGCCGCATCAGCAGCAGCGCCAACCCTTGTTAAATCCCTCACCATTCCCCAGCCATCTCCCTTCCTTTCTCTTCGACCCCTCTTTCTCCTCGAAAAATCCTCTGCGGATTAGGGTTTTCCCACGACGACGAGGTTATGCCGCCCGCGATCCCGATTCCCGGCTGCCGGTCTCGCGCTCCGTCTCTCTCCGGCCCGGAGGTAATGAAACGAATCCTTTTTAAATCTTTGTTTGCTTGCTTGTTGCGTGAAGAGGAATCGTGCCTTCCCTTTGAATTGATCGTGGTAATCAGCGCCTCCCTAATTCCACAGATTGGGCGTTTAGTTGATTGATTCTCGCCGAAATTCGGCTTTCCATGTTAGAATTTTGCCCCTTCTTGAATGTTTCTGTTGTTTTCTTGGTGGAGTGTGGGATTGTGTCAAGTTTCGGCTGTCAATTGTAAATCGGTTGCCTACTGCTTGATAATATGGTGGCGGTGCTTTGGTTTTGTTCATGAATTGGCTTTGGTGGAAACTGACAAAGCTTGATTGGCAATAGTAAAAAAAGACAATACTATGTCAGAGAACCGAATTAGCAAAATCCAGTTTACAGCGAGAGTGGTTTAGTGAGTCTTTTAGATTAGCTTATTATAAAAAACTTCATGAATGGTTGCATTGGATTAAACCCCTGATATCCAATTGGGGATGTGGATTGATACCTGTGATGCCCTATTTCTAGGGGGGGTATTTGATTGTTACACAGTAGATCGTTGCGGTTGGAGTCTCTTGTTTACGCTGTTTCGATCAATCGTTGATGGTTTGATCTTCTCGTGATGTTAGAGATGGTGATGCAAGGTTAGGTGGGTAGGGATTTTGGCTGCTGGGTTCGCTAATTCGTTTCCCTTTCACCAATGCCAGGTGCAGAGGCAATGGAGTGGAGATTGATGCTTGCCAGCAGCCATGGCAGCAGTTATCTCAATCAACGTCACTCTTCTAAGTCTGTCTTTACTTATTAAAAGGGTAGGTATTGCAGAGTTAATGGGTTGATATTAGCTGAGATTTCTTTGGAGTAGGGAATGAAGCCGTCTGGTCCGTCTTAGTATAGGGGTGATTTTACTTCAACCAATGGAAGTAGGGTTATTATTATCATTGTAAAGTTCTAATGGATCTTGCTGATAAAGCTCCCTCTAATTCATAGACAATCATCCTTATCTTGCAGTAACCTAATTTATTAACCTCTCTGTCTGGTTACCCCTGTTATCTTCTGCTCTCTACTTGTTTGCATCCTTCGCCCATTGCTGCCATTGAAATTGGATTCCACATGCTATCTTTCATCGTTTGTTAGTAAGGCTATAAATGAGCCGGGTCGAGTTTTGACATAGTTTGACCACGGTTTGTTTACGAAAAAACGTTGTTTCTTGTTTGACTATAGCTCGGCTCATCGATAAGCTCGCGAGATCGCCTCGAGCTCGGGTTATCATATAATATTGGTTCATAATTTTTAATTGTTCATATTCTGTTATCAAATCATAATTATTGTTTGAGTAATTTATGTGCGACATCGATCATGTGTTCAAGTTTTTTAAACTTGTTAGATATATATAATTATAAACACAAACAATAAGTTATTAATCGATTCGCTCATAAGTTGCTAATTGAGATGGTTCACTAGTGATATTGTCAAGTTAGCTCATAACTCAAAAAATGAAATTTGTGAAATCGAACAAGGTTTAGCTGAAACTAGACTTGTCGGTAAACAAAGCGAGTGTCGAACGAGCTGATGCGAGTCCAATATAGAGTAACGAAGCTTGTTTCATTGTGATGAGAAAAAGAAAGAAGAAGAAGAAAAAAACAGATGGAGACTCATTTTATTCTATGATATTATTTTTATTGGTTTTACATGAACCGAGTGATGCGACAGGAGTGGGTAGAGAGGTAGTAGTTGGGATACTAGGTAGTGTAATAGCGGCAGCAGAGCCGTAGTAGATAATAATATATAGAAGAGAAATGACAACATCAATCACATCATGCCGGGCCTGCTTTTGGAGTAATTAATGTTGGCAGAATCCTCATGACATCGACGTAAGATTTGCCGGCGAGTTCCCGGCGGAAGTAGCCTTTAAAATAGTCTGCGACGCCGATCTTTCTGTACTTTGGTTGGGCTTGGGTATTAATCAGCAGGCTAGGGGCCGGGCCCAAATCCCCATCCAGCTTTGGGCTCACGAAAGTGGCGAACGAAATCCTCTCCTTGTCGGAGTTGACGGTGGCCCGGTGCTCGACGCTCTTGTACATCCCATTGCTCAATATCTACACCAAGATAAGATATACATAGTAGATCAAGTAAGGAGTTTGAGGTTTTAAGATCTGATTGGAGTACGATCGGTTTGAGCCATTTTAGGCCTTTTTAAAGATTTAATGACCGAAATAAAATATATCTTACATGGTGTCTTCTACGGTACTCCAGGTGAAATACAGGGTACCACATACCTTGAGTATAAAATTCTATTTAGACCTCAAATTAGTTGAATTTTTGGACCTGATACTATACACTAACCCTTAATGAGTGAACCCTATTTTCTAATTATCTAAATCATAAACTATAAACCCCAAGATGGTGCTTCATTTTTTTGCCTTTATTTGGATGAATCATAACTGTCGATTATTATTCTAATTAAATTGATCTTGGAGTATAAGATTTAGAGAACTAAGACCTAGATATTGATCTTTAAGAATTAAAGTATAGTATTATGTCCGAAAGATCATTCAATTCATGGTCTGAATAACGTTTTCATACTCAAGGTATGCGATACCCTGTATTTCACATTGGGTACCGTATAAATCTTACATATATCTATTAAAAACTTGTTTTCCACAAAATAAATCTACCTAACCTCCAATAAGATTATGGGAGGCGAGGTATCAGCTCGTTAACAGATGACACACCTGTTAGCGAGTTGTATCTTGGGCTTTTAAGCCCATGTGTAAATTGGTCATTAGGCGAGAATGGCCGATGGTGTTTAAGCCCTAGTAGTGGATTGTGAATGCTAGGGTTAAGAGACTATATATATGTATAGAGAATGTACGGTGGAAACCAAGAAAACCTAATAAGACTTATAGCTCGGAGAGTTCTACCTCTCCCGTGGACTAGTCCCGATATCGGGGAAACCACGTAAATCGTGTGTCGAGTTTTCTTCTTTGTTTTCGTATACGTTTAGTGTTTTGATACTGATCAACATGGTATCAGAGCTATCGTCTTTGGACTCTGACAGGGTTTCGATTCGATTGAACTCCAAGAACTATGCACTCTGGGAGTTCCAGTTCCGGATATTCATTGAAGGCAAGGCCTTCTTTCGTTTCTAGATGGGATGTCACCGCGTCCTACTATTCCGCCATCGTCTACTGAAGAGCTTGCTAAATGGACGCAAATGGATGCTAAGGTGAAGTCCTACCTCCTTGGCACGATTGACCCTACCATTTGCTTGGGGTTAGATCTGTTGCGTACTGCAAGAGACATCTGGGGCCATCTCGCCAATACATACACCACAGCCGACCCTGCTCGGCAGTTTGAGATCACGTTCGAGCTGGCTCGACTCGAACAAGGAGACCTCGACGTGACATCTTACTACAACGCGGCGCAATTGCTATGGACCGAACAAGATTTATTGACTGCCGCCTTATGTTCCGCTACCGCCTCGGCCGAAGTTATTTAGGACCGCCAACGAACTCGCTTGATGCAGTTCCTTAGTCGCCTCAAATCTGAGTTTGAGTCTGTTCGGGCAAATCTGCTGCAACGCGAGCACCTCAACCTGGATGGCATTCTCGCAACTTTGGTTCGGGAAGAAACACATCTTCGGACGCAAGCTCAGCTGGATGTGCGTCCCGGCGCAGGAGAGGCGGTCTTCGCCGTGACGAATTCTCCGAGAGCATCTGCTGGACCTGTCCACCGTCCCAACCCAACTCCTCCTAGTGCCGATGAAGCCTTTGCGTAAATCGTCCCTAGTATCAGCGTTGTATCTCGGACATTGTGTGCCATCATTGTCATCAGGCTGGTCACTTGATCAAGTTCTGAAAACAACGCAATTTTTGCGTGTATTACAAAAAGAAAGGACATATAATTTCAGACTGTCGTCTAATTCAACCTCGCACCGCTGGATCGTCATCAGCTTCTCGAGCGCCACCAACAGGCGGCGCATATGCTGCCCACCAAGCTCCCCCAGCCCTTGCCGTGATTCCTCCCGGTCAATATATGACCGTTGATGCTGTGGAGCAGTTGGTCCAGGCCGCTCTCCAGCGTTCGTTGCCGACCGCCATCACTAGTGCATTCGCCACCCTTCATAATGATGGTACGTCCACTCCTCCTTGGCTTTTAGATTCGGCCTGCTTTAACCATATGACGGGAAATTCTCAAAATTTTGAGGCAATCAAATCGGTTCCATCTAGTTCCATACAGGTTGCGAATGGCCAACGTTTATCTGTGCATGGGATTGGTGATGTTGTTGACTCCCATATGCAATTGTCTAATACTCTATGTGTTCCGCAACTTGTGCCTAATTTAGTCTCGGTTGGCCAGCTTACTGAGCAGAATTGTCGTGTTGTGTTTGACCCCTCGGGGTGTGTTATTCAGGACCTGAAGACGGGGAGGCAGATCGGAAGGGGGAGTAAACATGGGCGTGTGTTCGAGCTTGAAGAATTGTCTGGTCAACCTTCTTCTTATTTGTCATCTCGGTTTCAGTCTAGTTCGTCGGATAGTTCTCCAGTATTTTCTAGCTTAAAATCTAGTGAGTTTGATTTGTGGCATTCTAGGCTAGGTCATCCCCACTCGAGTTGGCTTGTAACCATGTTTAAGCAACAGCTTTTCGGCAATAAAAAGGTTGATTTTTCTTCGAGTAAATTTCAGTGCACAAGTTGTGTTGAAGCTAAATCAACTCGTAGCTCCTTTCCTTCTAGTGCTACCGTTATTCCCGAACCATTTCAGCTGGTCCATACTGATCTATGGGGACCGTCACCTACGCATTCCCGTCATGGTTACAAATACTTTGCTTTGTTCGTTGATCATGCCACTCGTTTTACCTGGGTCTATTTTCTTCAGCTTAAATATGATCTTCTCTCGGTTGCCACTGATTTTTTGAAAATGATTCAGGCCCAATTCGGTACTACTGTTCGGGTTATCCGATCGGATCCTGGGGGAATTTAGTTCCAATCCTTTAGACCGTTTGTTCCTTTCTCAGGGGATCCTAACTCAGAAATTTTGTCCTGGTGTCTCCCAGCAAAATGGTCTTGTAGAGCGTAAGAATCGTCATGTGGTTGAACTCACTAGAGCCCTGCTTTTAGCCTCTCGTGTTCCATCTCGGTTTTGGCCTGAAGCGGTGGCCACAGCTGTTCGTTTGATTAATTACCAGATCACTCCCGTCCTTGGTCAGCTTAGTCCTCACTATGTCTTGTTCAAAAAGCATCCTGATTATTCTCGTCTTAAAGTTTTTGGATGTACTTGTTTTGTTCTTCTTCTTCGTAAGGAGCGTTCTAAATTGTCATCCAAAACTTCTCGCTGTGTTTTTCTCGGCTACAGTGACATCCATAAGGGTTATCTTTGCTATGATTAGTCTCTTCAGCGTCTTCGTATCTCTTGTGACGTTGTTTTCTTCAAACGTCTCATGTTTTTCTCCACTCCTTCGGAGGAATCGTCCTTTGTGTCCGAGATGACTAGGCTGCTGTGTTTGATGATGATGAAGAGGAGCCTGAAGACCCCATACTCCCCCCCCCCCGACTCGCCTGCCCCCTCGACACCTGGCGCCAGTTCCCCCGCTTCCTCCAGTAGCGAGGGTTCCGCTGATTTTTATGGTACTGCATCCGGTGGGTCTTCTTCCTCTGCCAGCTCGTCCGCGACTCCTGTTGCATCTCCTCCAGTTCTTCGGCGTTCACTTCGCAGAAACAAAGGGCAGCCTCCTGTGCGGTATAATGATTTTGTCTCTTATCATGTGGATGCCATTGCTATTCCTACATCATATAAACAGGCCATGCTAGATCCCAATTGGAACAACGCTATGCAAACTGAGTTCGATGCATTGTATGCTACGGACACGTGGGAGGTGGTTGATTGCCCTCCTAAACCCGTCACTATTCTTGGCAATAGATGGGTCTATGCAGTGAAGGTTCGCGCTGATGGCAGTCTCGAGCGGTTTCGTGCTCGACTAGTTGTTCAGGGGTTCGGCCAGGAATACGGTCTCGATTACGATGAAACTTTTGCGCCTGTTGCAAAAATGCAGACGGTTCGGACTCTTCTCGCTGTTGCTGCTATTCGAGGGTGGCCGTTGTTTCAGTTAGACATCAAGAACGCCTTTCTTCACGGTGATTTGAAGGAGGTGTTGTATATGAAACAGCCACCGGGATACACTGTTGGTCGTGCTGATAAGGTTTGCCAGCTTAAACGTTCTCTCTATGGTCTCAAACAAGCCCCACGTGCTTGGTTTGAGAAATTTCAGTCTACTGTGTTGGCTCTGGGTTTTCAGCAGAGCAGGAACTCTCCGAGCTATAAGTCTTATTAGGTTTTCTTGGTTTCCACCGTACATTCTCTATACATATAGTCTCTTAACCCTAGCATTCACAATCCACTACTAGGGCTTAAACACCATCGACCATTCTCACCTAATGACCGATTTACACATGGGCTTAAAAGCCCAAGACACAACTCGCTAACAACACCCACCATCTCCCTTCCTTTGCTCTCTTCTTCTCCCTCTTTAGGGGTCAGACCGGGGAGTTTTTTGGAGACCGTTTTGAAGTTCGACTCGGGTCGGACCGAGTCCAACCGAGGGTTCGATAAGGGTTTAACAACCTTCCACATTACACATTTCTTTATTATTAAGTTTGAGATAATCATTTTATTCCAATAATTTTGTACTACCAAAATGATAACAAAAATGGTTTCATATAAAAAAAGGAAAAAATAAACAAATGTTATTTTACCTCCAGAGTGTCGCCAATGTTGATGATGAACGCATTTGGGAGAGCAACAACAGGAACCCAGTTACCGTCTTTCATAACATGCAAATCCTGAGTTTCGGTCGTGACTTGCAGCAGTATGGTGAGACCGGCGGCGTCGGAGTGAGAGTTGACGCCCATCACCAGCTCCGGCTGCGGGCATGGAGGATAATAGTTCATTCGAAACTTCTGCCACCCTTCCTCGAACAACACCTTCATGTCGCCCTGGTCCATCCTCAGAGCTTCCGCCATTAGATCGAGAATGGTCATTGACAACGCCTTGAGTGCTGCTGAATATTCTTCCAATGTTTCCTGCCCGAGCAACGAACTAGTAACTAGCGAGAACCGCGGGCCAATAGTAAAAAGATATTTTAACACTAAGGATTGAATTAATATTGTATTCAGTCTGATTTGGTTTGGTCCAAATGGCAAATGTCACATCAATTCATTTTTCTTTTAGTGTTTATAAAATTCATGTGGTCAACAACCATCGGGCCACATTATGTTCAATTTGCAACGGTTTGATGCGGTATACAGTACATACCAAACCATTGAACACCCCATGAACCCAAAATGTCTTACGACAAACCTTAGTGGGAGAGGGAGCCAAGGGAAGAGATGAGGCTTCCTAAGATATTTAGGAAGGACAGTCGTGTAGAACAGATCTCCCCAATCAAGCTTCTGTTCCTCAGACACCACGAAGGCCTGCCCAAATCCCTCCATTTCCCCAGGTCTCTGCCAGTACTTTCGCTTCTCTTCCATCGGCAGGTTGAAGAACCCTTCAACCTCTGCTTTTACTTTGTCTATCAGCGACTCGCTCACGCCATGGTTCATCAACTACACAAAACAAAGCATCATCAACCCCTAGAGGTGGCAAATGTATTAGATTCGTGGATTGGTGGATTGGGTTGTTAGATCCATATATTATATGGATTGGATCAAATTGATTGGTGTATTGATCCATGAATCCAAATGACAACCAAACCTTGGACCATTATGTAAATGTTGAAAAGTTTAGATACTAAAATGCCATAATGAAAATTTTAGGTACCAAAACATAATTGTCCAACGCCATTTTTTTTAAAAAAAATATGTGCCAAAATGTCAATTATAAAAATTATAGGTGCTAAACTATAATTTGTCAACAATCCATGAATCCACCAATCCAATTAGATTTGGATAAAATAGATTGGATTAGTTGGATATTTAAATGGATGGATTGGATTGAAAATCGTCACCTCTATCAACACCATTAGACAAACTATCTTCAATTAAAAACATTGTAACAGATTGGGAAATCGACAATACAAAAAAGTAAAGATCATACAGATAGTTCACTAAAACGATATGTGTTAGCTAATCTACGGAAATGAAATATCATGTTAGAATATGACTTGACTTTGATTTGAGTTTGTTTTGTGTTTTGGGCCTATTTTGTTTGCGTTTGTGTTTGGGCTTTGTTTTGCCCTTTTCCTTGTAGGTTTGGAAAAAGTGTTTGGTTTTCTGTTTGGGATTAGGAGAAGAGTTCTATAAATATTCTTCGCCACCTTAATCTGTTGTAAGGGTCAGTCAGGTTTGTTTGTTTGGTTTGTCCGTTCCGGAATTTGGTTTGTAACCTGTACACTTCTCAAATCATTGAAATTTGTTCTCCCCTGCGCGTGGATTAGCTATCACACATTGTGTTAGTGAACCACGTTAAATTTGTATTCGTTCGTGTTGATTTTGATTATCGATTGCACGCTTCTATTTTGACATACCCGTTTCACTATACGTTATTAAAAAATTAAATTACATCGACATCCCAGTCTACGTCAGATAAATAGATGGAGAGTAGGGATTGACCTGAAAGAAACCCCAATTGTTAACTTATCGTAGCGAAGTTTGATCAAGCTAGAAACGAAATCACACAAGTATTTACGTGGTTTCCTTGATCGGTATGATCAAGACTAGTCCACGGCCGAAGCTATCAACTCTCGTATTAACCTAGCTTCAATGCAGGTTCAAGATACAATATATATATGATCATCCTAACCCTAGCCGCATTGGAAGAGGATGGGTGGCCAGAATAGGGTTACTCTCAAGGCCTAAGACTACTAGTGTTCAATGTTCAGTGGGCTAAAAGCCCATACATAAAACGCATAACTCAACAGCCTCCCCCAAATTGATGGAGGTCTCGCATCATCAATTTGCCTGCGAGATAAGAATGTCGACTAGTAGTGAAGGCCTTTGTCAGTAGGTCTGCAATCTGAACTTCCGACTTAACATAAAAGATACGAATGAGACCATCTCGAACCAAGTCATGAATGTAATGCACATGAACCTCAATGTGCTTCGTACGATCATGCATAACTGGATTCGTAGCAATCCGAATAGCACTGGTGTTATCAACATATAACTCCATCGGAATTTCACACGTGACACCAAAATCTGTAAGCAATCTCTGAAGCCATTCCAGTTCAGACACCACATCTGACATAGCTCTGTACTCCGCTTCTGTGGATGACTTAGACACACGATCCTGCTTCTTGCATCTCCAAGAAATGAAAGAACCACCGAGGCGAACACACCAACCTGTCGTAGAACGACGTGTATCAATACACCCAGCATAGTCACTATCAGAAAAAGCCTGTAGCACAAGAGAGCCTGTCGCAGGCAGAAACAACCCAACATCTCGGGTACCCTGAAGGTAGCGGAGAAGTCGATGAACAACAGCTAAGTGATCAGTCCTTGGAGCGGACATAAACTGAGCAACAATCTGGACTGCATATGCAATATCGGGACGCGTCGAAGTAAGATATATAAGACTCCCAACAATACTACGATATTGCTTACCACCATCAGGTAATAAATCTCCTGTCTCCCTTCCTAACTTCACATTAAGCTCCATAGGTGTAGAAACGGGGACACAGTCTGAGAACCGAGTCGAATCAAGAAGATCCGCGATATACTTCTTTTGCCCCAGAAGAATACCAGCAGAGGAACGTTGGACCTCAAGTCCGAGGAAGTAAGAGAGAGACCCCAGCTCCTTCAATGTGAAGGACTCATGCAGCCCTTTGGTCAAGGCCTTGCTCCCAACTTCATCATCACCAGTAACGATCATATCATCAACGTAGAGGAGAAGAAGAACAATACCTCGCTCAGAGCGCCGAGTAAAGAGAGAGGGATCATTCTGGCTCTGTCGAAACCCAAGACTCAGCACAGTAGAGTGAAACTTATCAAACCAGGCACGGGGAGCCTGCTTAAGACCATAGAGTGACCGCTGAAGGAGACAAACAGGATCAGAAATGTCAGTCTGCGGGGAGTAGCCAGGAGTAAGCTCCATATAAACTTTCTCCTTAAGATCGCCATGTAGAAAGGCGTTCTTGACGTCAAGCTGGTAAAGGGGCCATCGCCTAACTGAGGCCACCGCGAGGAGAGTGCGGACTGAAACCATCTTGGCCATTGGCGCAAAAGTCTCATCAAAGTCCACTCCAAACTCTTGACTGAAACCCTGCGCAACAACTCGAGCTTTGTGGCTCTCTAACGTCCCATCGGGAAGAAATTTCAAGGCATATACCCAGCGAGACCCGACCACCGGATGATCAATAGGACGAGGAACAATAACCCAAGTCTGGTTAGCAAGAAGGGCACCAATCTCGTCAGTCATAGCATTATCCCACTCCGGATGCCCATGTGCCTGTGAAAACCGAGTGGGAACAGCAAGAGCATCAACACCATATGAAACATAATCATTATGACGAGGAGGAGGTACCCCTAGAGTAGAACGCGTCGAACGACGAAGTGGTGGTGGCGGGCTCGGTGGAGAAGGCGGCGACGGTGGTGGGGAGGGAGGCGGGCTATCATCAGGGTGCGGGTCCAGACCAATCAGAGCCTCATCAACATCATCAGTGTCAGAGAAGGAGGGGAGTCCTAGGGACGTATCAAACAAAGGAGTGGTAGTAGATGACGCAGAGTAAAACATGAGGTTCTCTAGAAAGACGACATTACAAGCAATACGAATACGACGAAGATCGGGATCATAACAAAGATAACCCTTATAGATATCACTATAACCAAGGAAGGCACAACGAGAAGTCTTAGATGTCAACTTAGTACGCTCAGAACGAGGAAGAAGCACAAAACACATACAACCGAAAACACGAAGACGGGAGTATGGAGGATGTTAGCAAATAGCTTAAAATAGGGACTCGACTGACCAAGAACCGGAGTAATCTGATAGTTAATTAATCGAACAGCTGTAGCAACAGTTTCAGGCCAGAAAAAAGAGGGTACATGGGACGAGAGAAGCAGGGCACGAGTAACCTCAAGGACATGTCTGTTTTTACGTTCTACTAGACCGTTTTGTTGGGAGACACCGCTGATCACAATAACAATATAGAGAGAGGGAGAGAGGGAGAGAATTTTGCCGTCTTACGGTGAATTTAGGGGTACTTTATAATTTGAGGCTAGGGAACCATCATTAACTAAATTTGAATCCTTAATTCAGAAAATCAAGATCTAACGATGAAGAATTAAATATATTATTATTTTTTCTATTTTTCTTAATCGACTCATATCTTATTCGTTTTAACTCTGATTTTATTTTTTCCATAGATGGAACGAGATCGTTATGTTCTACAAAATGAAATCCATTTTCAATATTTTTTGTGAGACCTGGACACGACTTATGGGTAAGAATTCCTAGAGATGCATAAAGATTGAGTAATGGTGTGGAACTAAACTCACCCCCAGGATCAGAATGGACTACACGAACAGTTCTATCAAATTGAGTCTTAATCATCTGCAATAATTCAGTAGCAATGGGCAAAAGATCGGATTTGAGACGAAGAAAGTACACCCATGTAAACCGAGTGACATGATCGATAAACAATGCAAAGTACTTATAGCCATGTCTTGAAGTCACCGGACTAGGTCCCCAAAGATCTGTATGTATAAGATGAAAAGGCTCGGTAATAACTATAGTACTCGAAGGGAAGGAGATCCGGGTTGTTTTTGCTTGAACACAATTTTGACAAGTAAAATCCGACAACCGATCAAATTTAGTAGTTGAGCCAAAAAGCTGTTGTCGAAACATGGTTACAAGTCTACCGGAGTTGGGATGTCCCAATCTAGCATGCCACAACTGAAAGTTTTGATCACTAAGACTCGAAAAGACAGGAAATGAGGATACCCTAGACACCGAATTAGAAGCCGACAAAGAACAAGGAGATGATGTGACGAGCTCATCCATCAAGAAGATTCGACCATGTTTGCTACCCTTCCCGAGCACCCTCCCCGTCTTCACGTCCTGTACAACACAACCAGAGGGTGCAAAAGTAACCCGGCAACCTTGTTCAGTAAGTTGGCCCACCGAAATCAAATTAGGCACCAAATTGGGAACATAAAAAGTACTAGGCAGCCGAACATGATCATCATTAACTGACCCAACACCAGAAACCTGTAGTTTATTGCCATTAGCTACTTGTAACGAAAGATCATCGACTGGTTGTACCCTTTTAACAATACCACGATCGCCAGTCATGTGATTAAAACAAGCAGAGTCGATAATCCATTTGCGAAATTTCCCTGTGACCTGAAGACTGGAAAAAGCAGATGAGATGGCCTTGTTCACCATATTTTCGAGAGCAGCAGGAGTAACAAGCACACCATCTATAGGAGGAGCAGGCGTAGCAGCATAAGCTGGACGAGATCGTCCACGATAATTATCATAACGACCAGTATGGCCACCGCTAGAACCGGGATTATCAACATCGCCCATTCGTTCCTGCAGCAACTCACAATCGGAAATTATATGGCCACGTTTTTTGCAATAAACACAGAAGTTACGCTTACGGCATAGCTTTTTGGTATGCCCCTTTTCATGGCAATGGTGGCATTCCACCTCCGAGAGAGGACGACGTGGAGCCCCCGAGCGGTACGCAGCAAAAGCTGCATCATGGAGCTCATCATCACCAGCTGAAGCAGCCTGCTGGGCCTGGACTGCGGTACGCGGAGCAGCAGAGTGAGGGCGAGCAACTTGGGTCGACGCGAGGCTGCCGGGAGCTGATCTGTTGACGCTGAATGCCGCCACATCGGCCCGACCTGCCGAGCATCAAGGGAAGCCTACGTGCGCAGCCTAGTCTCTTCGCGGATCAAATCCACCAAAATCCCCTCCTGCCGAAGTGAATCCCGATTCAGAAGGGTTGCCCGCAGCGACTCAAATTCTGGGCGGAGCTTCATCAAGAATTGCAGCAGGTGGATCTTCGTCTTCTCAGCCTGGAGCTCAGCGGGAATCGGCTGCGTCAGGAGGGACGCAGTGAGCAGGTCCTGCTCAGTCCAGAGGAGGCACGCCGCATTGAAATACGACGCAACATCTAGCTCGCCCTGGTGCAGATTGGCCAGCTCTACTTCGAGCTCGAACTGGCGATTGGCGCTGGTAGTGGAGTAGGTCTCGGCGAGTGATTTCCACATGGCCGCAGCGGTCGAAAGCAGGCGCAGTCCCAAGATGATGGAGGGATCGACTGAGTTCATGATCATGGAGCGTACCCGAGCATCGTTCTGAAGCCACTTCAGCACGACAGCGTCGGTGGAGGGCGGAACCGTGGGTCTAGCAGAGGTACCATCAAGCAAACCGAACAGTCCCTTGCCTTCGATGAAGACGCGGAATTGAAACTCCCATAACGAATAGTTCGTGGAGTTGAGACGAGTAGAAATCCGATCAGAATCCAAACAGAATCCGAACTGGTGAGCTCTGATACCATGTTAACTTATCGTAGCGAAGATTGATCAAGCTAGAAACGAAATCACACAAGTATTTACGTGGTTTCCTTGATCGGTATGATCAAGACTAGTCCACGGCCGAAGCTATCAACTCTCGTATTAACCTAGCTTCAATGCAGGTTCAAGATACAATATATATATGATCATCCTAACCCTAGCCGCATTGGAAGAGGATGGGCGGCCAGAATAGGGTTACTCTCAAGGCCTAAGACTACTAGTGTTCAATGTTCAGTGGGCTAAAAGCCCATACATAAAACGCATAACTCAACACCAATCTCTGCAACCGGCATGGAGACTATCCAGCTCTGGCTTAAGATCACCATCGTCGTCATGGTGAGAAGTAGATAACATTTTCTGCAAATCGATGACAGGGATTGAAAGTGGCGAAGTACCGTTTGTAGGGTCTTGATCAGGACGAAGATAGCGTGGTGGGATTGCTGAAAACAATTGTGTGAAGTGGGTAAAACCCTAATGCTTAACCTTTCTCATTGATCAATTCAGCCATTTTATAGGCAACTCGATTACAGAAAAAGACAGCCAAGCAAGTACATTTTGTCCCTTAGCTTGGTGAGGAAACAAAGACAGATGTGAATCAAAAGAAACAGAGAAGTGGAAGCAGAGTAGAACGACACAGTTTTGGGATCATTAATCAGCCACCTAAAACGCTGTCGGATGGAACTGAGTCTTCAACCTTGGAAATCATTTGACCGTTGCGATTGAAATTTAGGGATTCATTTCCTGTTACCCCCCCCCCCCCCCCGCAAGCCGGTGGGCAGAGATTCTGGACACCGAGCTTGGACAGCAATTGGAGAAAGGGACTGGGGGATAAAGGCTTGGTGAAGAGATCAGCAAGCTGGTGTGTGGAGGAAACGTGGAAGAGCTTTAGAATCTTCGACTGGAGCTTGTCGCGCACTAAGTGGCAATCGAGTTCGATGTGCTTGGTGCGTTCGTGGAAGGTAGGATTGTCAGCGATATAAATCGCACTTTGATTATCGCAATAAAGATGAGCTGGTTGTGGGTGCAGGACCTGAAAGTCTCGAAGTAGGTAAAGGACCCATTGGAGTTCACATGCTGAGAAAGCTAGAGCTCGGTATTCAGCTTCGCAGGAAGAACGGGAAACAGTCTGCTGCTTTTTGCTCTTCCATGAGATGAGCGAGTCACCCAGGTAAACACAATACCCTGTAATTGATCGCCGTGTATCAACACAGGCAGCCCAATCAGAATCTGAAAATGCCTTTAGTTGAAATTGGCCTTTAGAGGAAAAGAAAATTCCTGTTGCTGGTGCACACTTGAGATATCGTAGGATCCGTTGAACTGCTTTATAATGTTGTACACTTGGATTTCCCATGAACTGACTGACTTGCTGGGTGGCAAAACTAATGTCAGGGCGTGTAGTTGTTAGGTAGATGAGCTTGCCCACCAATGTGCGATACAATTCAGGATCCTCAAAAGGGGACTCACAGTTGCTGGTGAGGTGAGTTTTGTAGTCCATAGGAGTAGTCACTGGCCTTGAGTCCAGTAAATTAGCATCCTCAATTATCTCAAGAGCATACTTCCTTTGGGATAGATGAATGCCGGAATTGTTTCTTGCTACCTCCATACCAAGGAAGAACCTTAAAACACCTAAATCCTTAATGCTGAATTCAGAATGAAGGAAGTCTTTGAGATGCTGAATAGCCACTAAGTCATTGCCCCCCACCAGTAGATCATCTACATAGATTAAGATACAAGTATAACTAGAGGCAGTTACCTTGTAAAATAAAGAGTGATCAGCTTTGCTTTGAGAGTAACCAACATGCTGGAGTTTATCAGTCAGCTTAGAAAACCATTGCCGTGAGGCTTGTTTAAGACCATAAATGGATTTTTTGAGGCGACAAACTGGATGTGTGAAACCAGCAGGTGGTTGATATCCTTTAGGAAGAGTCATGTACACCTCCTCTTGTAAATCACCATGTAGAAATGCATTATTCACATCCAATTGGTGAATATGCCAATTTCTTAAAGCAGCAACAGCCAAAAAGGTTCTGATGGTTGTCATTTTAACAACTGGGGCAAAAGTATCCTGGTAATCAACACCTTCCTGTTGAGTATAGCCTTTAGCAACAACCCTTGATTTGAATCTCTCAATGGATCCATCCTGATGAATTTTGATTCTGTATACCCACTTATTACCAATAGGCTTCTTCCCTGGGGGTAGCTCAACAACATCCCATGTCTGGTTTTGAATGAGAGCTTTGATTTCATCTTTCATGGAGTCATTCCAAGCATCTGATTTTGATGCTTCTGTATAGGTAGTAGGCTCAACATAGGAGGAAATATTCAGGACAAATGTTTTGTAAAAGGGTGAGAGATTGTCATAAGTAATCATGGAAGAGAGACCATACCTTGAGTCTTGGACCTGTTGCTGAAGTGAGTGACTTGTGCTACTAGACTTAGAGGCTAGATAACAGTGGTAGTCTTTGGTTAAGTGGGTAGGAGGTTTGGATGCCCTAGCTGATTTTATGGGAGGAACATTAGGAGGTACTGGTGGTGGGGAGGGAGTGTCTTGAGGAGATGGGGTAGTGGATTGGGAGGCAGAAGAAGAAGTAGGAGAAGAACTTTCTGATGGTGATGAGGAAGAGGGTAAAGGGGATGGAATTGACGGGGTAGGAGGAGAAGGAAGGGAATCATGGAGTAGGGAAATATTGGGTTCAGGAAGTGGGAAAAGGAGGTCAGAGTCATGGTTTGTGTTAGACTGAGAATCAGAAGAATGAAATGGGAAGTGAGATTCATAAAAGCTCACATCCCTTGAGACAAAAACATCATGAGAATCAAGATCATAAATTTTGTAACCCTTTATACCAGACTTGTAACCCAAAAACACACCCTTTCTTGCTTGTGGTTGAAATTTGGTTCTATGATTAGCCAAGGTTGAGGCATAACATAAACAGCCAAAAACCTTTAGATCAGTGAGGTCAGGGGAAATGTTGTATAATTTTTCATAGGGTGTTTTGTTGTGTAAAACTGAAGAAGGGACACGATTGATAAGAAAAACTGCATGTTTGATGCAATCACTCCAAAAACCAGGTGGCAGGTCAGCCTGGAATTTAAGGGCCCTGGCCACAGCAAGGATATGCTGGTGTTTTCTTTCCACTCTACTGTTTTGTTGAGGAGTCTCAACACAAGACATCTCATGAATAATGCCTTGTGAATCATAGAACTCAGTCATTTCAAATTCCTTTCCTTGATCACTTCGAATTCTTTTAATTGTAGTTTGGAATTGCCTCTGCATTTGGTTGCAGAAGGCAATCAACTTTGGTCTAGCTTCTGATTTGAGTTGAAGCAGAATGACCCATGTCATTCTTGAAAAATCATCAACAATAGTGAGGAAGTATTTGTAAGAATCATAGGAAGGAACTGGATTAGGCCCCCATATATCAACATGTAAGAGTTCAAAAGGATGTTGGGTTACATTCTGACTCAATGGAAAAGGAAGTCTCCTTTGCTTAGCAAAGTGACAAACATCACAGGGTAAGCCCTTTTGAGTTTCAATAGAGCTACAAAATTGATTGAGATAAGGAATTTTGGAATGAGATAGGTGTCCTAATCTGAAATGCCATAAATCAAAAATGGTTGATCTTGCAACTGAGATGAGCTTAGGATTACTAGGGGCTTCTAGGTAGTAAAGGCCATTGGTCAATCTAGCAGAACCAGTCACTCTCTTCTGCTCCAGGTCCTGTATGACACAAAGGTTGGAGTGAAAAGTTAAACTTAGTGAATTTTGAGCAGTGAGTTTGCTGACTGAGACTAAATTGAAACTGAAGCCAGGAACAAAGAGAGCATCCTGAAGAGTTAACTCAGGAGTGCAATAGATTGTGCCTTTGTAAGTGGCAGGAATTTGTTGACCAGTAGGCAGTGTAATGAACACCCCAGTGATGGGAACAGGATCAATAAGGTAATCAAGGCAGGAAACAATATGATCAGAGGCACCAGTATCTAGGATCCATGTGAAACTGTGTTTTGGATTGATGTAGGTTGGTGCTGATAAGAAACATGTACCTGTTGGAGTGGTAGTAGTTGTGAAAGCAGCAGCAGTGTGAGGAGAATGCTGCCTAGAACCCCCAACAAGAGCCATTAGCTTGTCATAATCAGCCTTAGATAGCTTGACAGAATCATCAGTAGAGGTTGCTGCAGAATGAGCATATCCTCTACCTCTTCCATAAGTAGATGTAGTAGTTCTGGGAACATAGTTGGCAGGAAAACCATGCTTCTTAAAACATTTGTCTTCAGGGTGGCCATGTTTACCACAGAAAGTGCATTCAATGATATTGGATGATGCATTCATGGGAGAGGGTCGAGTAGACATTCCTGGTGGATAGCCATGTTTGACAAAGCAAATGTCCTCTGTGTGTCCTTCTCTTTTGCAGTAAACACAATAGGGCCTTTTTTGAATAGAAGTAGGTCTTCTGTTGACACCTTGAATGGCTAAAGCAGAAGTATCAGTAGTAAGAGAGGCAATGAGTTTACCCCTTTGAGTGCCATAGAGCTGCCTCTCATGTTGTAACATTCGTTGGAAAACCCTGTTGATGTTTGGCAGCTCATCCCCAAACAAAACTTGGTTTCGAACAGCAGAAAAGTTGTCATTCAAACCTCTTAAAAACTTAATGACATAACTGGTTTCCTGATATTCATGGACCAGCTTCATGGCTTGACATGTGTTGTGACTTGTGTTGGTACAAGCATAGGGAATCAAAGGCTGATAATTGTCCAGTTCATCACGAAGAGTAATAACTTTGCCATAGTATTCAGTAATTGTTTGAGTACCCTGCTTTAAACTACAGAGTTCTTCTTCTATTTCAGCAACTCGAACAATGTCACCAGATCCATACCTTGTTTGTAAACTCTTCCATGCTTCAGCTGCTGATTTGCTTGAAAGGATGGTTTTGCGTATTTCAGATTCGACGGCTTGTTGGATCCAGCTCAAGATCATGATGTTGTTTCTGACCCAGGCATTTCTCTTTGGATCTGTTTCTGCAGGCTCAGGAATGGCACCATTAAGGAAACCCAGCTTGTTCTTGGCAGCAAGGGCGTTGAACATGGCGCGACTCCAGTCATTGTAGTTTGTAGGGGTGAGCTTCTCACTAACCAGAAGGGAACCAGGTTGCTCGGAACCATGAAGGAAGTATGGATCTTCCATGGGGTAAGGTGTGTTTAAGGTTTCACCAGATGCAGAAGCATCAAAGTGGGTTTGGTTTGTGGCCATGGCGGCGCCTTAGGGCTCTGATACCATGAAAACAATTGTGTGAAGTGGGTAAAACCCTAATGCTTAACCTTTCTCATTGATCAATTCAGCCATTTTATAGGCAACTCGATTACAGAAAAAGACAGCCAAGCAAGTACATTTTGTCCCTTAGCTTGGTGAGGAAACAAAGACAGACGTGAATCAAAAGAAACAGAGAAGTGGAAGCAGAGTAGAACGACACAGTTTTGGGATCATTAATCAGCCACCTAAAACGCTGTCGGATGGAACTGAGTCTTCAACCTTGGAAATCATTTGACCGTTGCGATTGAAATTTAGGGATTCATTTCCTGTTAATTGCTGCGATGGGGTTCTTAGCCAGTTCTTGAACACAAGCAACCGGGAGAGAGCTTCCTAGCTTTGTGAGCTCAGGATCTTCCATGGAAACACAGAGTGATAGATAGATAACTCTCTCTCTCTCTCTACGTCTTGGTTTCTTTCTCATTATCGCTCGAGCAATTCCTCACTATTTATGGACTCACATAGGCTGAAAAGTGAAAACGATAGAATGTATTGTGAGTTGAATGATTGAAAAACCGTATCGTACCAACTGTTCAATCAGAAAAATCACATATCAAAAGTGAAATTGGTGGACGGTATTTAATTATATGAAATGGTTGAACTATTGTTAAGTAATGATTTCAAGTATCTTATGACTGTCTATTTTGATATAACCTCCAATATTTTTTAATTATTGATTAAAGGGCGAGGGAAAATATACGTAATACGAGGGCACTGTTTTTTCCTTAGGAGGTCGTTGTTGTAGTTTTGGATTGTCTCTCGTGGCTACAGAGGTCGGGAAAATGTTCTGTTGTGGCGTTTTATTCACTTGCACAATCAGGTTCTATTTTATTGACAATTAAAGGTTATGAACTGTATCAGCAAGTTTCTTGCATGCTACCTAAATAATTAGAAAGAATGATAAATTAGGTGGTCTATTATCCATGTACTCAACTAGTACTATTTCGTATAGTTCTTGAATTTTGTTTATTTTTATTTTGGTTTTACACTTATATAGCCAAAATTTTCACCGATTGTATCAATAATGGCCAAAGCATCATTATCTCCATCACTGAATTCACTATAGCGATGGCAACCCTAACCGGAAATCCGGGTGCCCGCCCGAAACCGCACCAGTCAAACCGGGGAAAAACCGCGACCGGGTGACGGATCGGGGACGGGCAAACCCGAACAGTTGACGGAGCGGTGATGGATTCATCACTATCCGCCACGTAACAGCCCGAGTTCATCACTACTCCAACAAAGCTAGAGACAGACCAACTGCAGCCGTCGAAGAGGCAGACCAACTGCTGCCACAGAGACCAACTGCAGTCGTCGAAGACTGAAGATCCTTCAGATCCTGGCCTGCGATTCTTCATCTCCCGGTAGCGGGTATGTGAATAGCCAGGCGATTCTCCCTCTCCTTGATTCTCCCACTCCTCGACTCGGATCTATGATGCCGAAGCAACGGCAACGGTGGAAACAGAAATCTGACGGCGGCGGCGATGGAAGAATGGGATCTGACAAGAGGATCTGCTATCGCCGCTCTGATCCCTGCCTCTTTCTGTCTTCTCCTCTCTTCTGCCCCAACAGTGGTTGGTGTTGCAGCGATGATCTGGAGCTTCGCGACAGTGGAAGAATGGCGAAGTCCGGGTTTGCGGGGTTTCGGGTAAAATCCGTACCCGGAGTCGGGCGGGTGGCGGTGGAATTTTTGCCCCCGAGAGTGCGGGTGTGGATGGTTTCTCCGACCCGAGGAGGTCTCACGGGCGGGGTTCGGATGCTGGGAAACCGTCCCCGATCCGCCCCATTGCCAACACTAATTCACTACCTATGAGATTAGCGTATTTTTCCTTCTTCTCCTGTATTTCACAGAATGCAAATATTTAACGGCAAATTTTTTTTGAATTGTGAAAACTCCATTTTCATGAACCTAAATTTATTTAGTACATGTCATGAACTTTGTCTGAGATTGCTATTCTTTATCCTTCATTATCTTCAAAACTGTATACGTTAGGGGCTTCGATATGTAATCGGTGAGCTTCATATGAAAATTTAACTTCATGCTCTCGGTTTGTATGAGATGAGGAGGTGAATGATCTCTAATTTTGTCACTATCGTTGAGTAGTTTCTAAATCATCATTCCAAAAAATCTAGCTTCCTCGTGATACAGAACAATAAAGTTAGATTAAAGAGATGTTGTCTACAACTCACAACTAATCCTGAATATATAAAATAATAACAATTGAGATACATTATTTGATCGAAAACTTTATATTTAGTGGGTACGTTGTTTTCTTTCTAATGAATGAACTTGAAGTAAAAAACAATTAAATAAAAGGGGTAGATTGTTACCTAACTACTATTGTATTTAATGTTATTGTATAATTCGTATAAAATTGCTCATCATAGTCTTCTTCAACTTTTCTTTAGCAATTTACAATTAATACGATTTTTCTAACCTATTTTTAATAAGAGTTGAAAAGAATGAGATATAGTCCGCTAAATTTGCGAGAATATGAAAATCTTTTAACTATAGCTCTTGAGATTTGTGCCATCTGTAACTAGAGGGGGTTATGCACCAAAATTCCGGCTCTTTTACTTGGCTTTTTGAAGATCATAGTGGAACACCATACTATCAATAAGATGATTCTCCTATGTGAATGCTTTTTTAATACGTAGAATCAATAAATATAGTACTCAATAATAGTATGAACTAACTTCAAAACTCCAAATAATATTGGTGCAATTATAACATAACAAAATAATATGTTACTGCAAAATCAAGTTTTGATAAGAATTATCATCGCATTAATATAAACCAAGCAACATTAGGAAAACAGAAAACAAACGGAGTTGTTGATTTCCTGCTATGATAAAAGAAAACTATACATCAAACTTAGATCTAAGGTAGTATGATCTCATAATTTTTTTATCGTTTCCCGAAAAAGAACCTAATAAAGAAATTATCCAGCTAGCTACCGATTTTAAACTTTGACTTCTAGTATCTAGATTGAGATTATGATCTACATTTCATCATTCCAAGAAAAAACCAATACTTTAAAGAAGAATTGATGAATAAGCTAATAACTAAATAAAAATCATTGATAATTACATTCATATACCTCCTCACCATTATCAATTCACACGCGTTGAATTTTTTATTTTGTAACCATACCCACAAATATAGAATTATGCTACCCACAACCCTGCCCGCATTGGGTAGTGGTTAACCACTACACACTGCGGGTTGGTGCGGGTTGGTTGTGGATACCCACAAAAATTTCACATTAAATATAATAATATGGTAATTGAATAGTGATGTTGTGTTTCTTCTCAAACAAAAACAAAAACATACATAAAAGAAAGTTAATAAAGTGTTAAATAAATTATAAATCTCGAATACAATAAGTTACTTAGTGTAAATCCAGAAGAGATAGATTTGGAAAGAGGTTTGAAAATAACAGAGAGGCGGAGTTACTTGTTACCAGACAAACATCGTTGCATGTCACGGCTCCTCCGATGGTACCAACAACAAAACACAAAAGTGGCTCGATAAGTGGAGGCGAATTCTTTTAATGAATCGATTATTCTCCACTCTCGATTATAGTATTGTATTGTTGGTAGCTGGTTGCATGTTGTGTTGTTCGTGAGTTCGTGGAGAAATGGAGACGAGTTTGGGTATCAGACTAATATTTATCGATTATTCCCTCTTTTAACGAATCGATTAATTTATCTGACTTTATCTATGGACTTGATTTTATTATAAAATAAACATATACCATACGGACAATGCTTTTTTGATAGAAGTATCTCACATGAACATTGCGTATTAACTTGGGTTTTTTATAGAATAAGTGCATATTTGATTTTGGTAGCTACTTTAATTCTTAGTCTTCCAAATTTCACAAACTAATATAACTAATGTGGTTAATAAGGGTTACAAAGTATTTTGAAGAAATAAATGTAACTAATGTGGTTAATGTGGATATTGTGGGTAAACCGTTGTGGGTAGTGGTTAACCACTAACCACAAAAATCAATATTTTGCTACTCACACCCAACCCACTATCCAAAAATCATATATATGGATATCCACAAAGTATGCGGTTTGGTCCGGTTTGCGGGTTACCCGCAACCTGCAAACCAAACTTCCACCCCTAATTGAAAGTATTTAGTTTTTTTAATTCAGTAATGAAGAATTAGTTAATTAGCAAAGTCACACATATAAAAATTTGTCTCAAACACTTAAATCTTATAATAAAAAAACACATATAGACACGCACAATCTTATAACAAAATATTTATTTAATAATATAATAATTGGTTTTAAAAAGGTTTCTAACAACAAAAAATTATTAGTATAATGAAGTATTTTTTTGGGTATTTATTAATTAAAAGAACAAAAGTATCCTTCCTAAATTTACTCAACAAGCTAAAAATTTAGATAATATTATGTAAATATTGATATATGGATGACCATTGTCATTACCACATTAGATGCTCACTTGGGAGTTACATGTAACCTCTATTCCTACATTATTATCTCTCATTCATATGCATTGAGATAAGGATGTAGTGGTTACCAAAGTGTGCCTATAAATAGAGCATATTATTGTATCAAAAGTGAAGAATGAATAAGAAGAACTCTTCCCTTCTCTTCTCTTGTGTCTTTCCTCTCTAATCTTCTCTTGTAGTTGTTTATATTTTCATTAGTTTCATAACACTTTTATCTAGAACGATTAACTTGATAAATTCATCATTTTTGTCTTAAGTTTGAAATATTCTCATTTATTACTTTTAATATGTTTATGTAAAGTATGATTGTTAGAAAAATTTCATATAAACTATATGGTAGAGTACATAAATCAGAAAAAGCTTCCGAAGAGCTTATGTTTGGTTACTTGAAGTAACTAAATTATGTACTCGTGATAATAATTTGTGATGATATTCACTATGAATATGTGTTTACTAAGAATGCATCAAATCATAAGTCTCCTGAAGGGCGAAATACGGTACAAAATCTGGTAAAGCTCTAAAAGTGCTAATGTTTTGTGGCCTGAAGGACCCAAACTACCTAGTGATGATGCATTACCCAATTAAAAGGATATTCGTAAAATGAATATCTTATCAAGAAAATAGTGAAACTAATATTTGCATCACAAATATGTACTACATGTATATTAGTACAATCAGTACACATAAAAGTGTAAACCAGAAGTTTACAAGATTTGATAACTTGATAATTGGTTGGTCCGGTTAGACCATCCCGGATCTTGATGTGAAAAAAAGTTCTTTGAGAATTCATGAGAACATCATATGAGAAGTCAAAGAACTCTTCAACGAAAAGAGTTATTATGCCATGTTTGTTCTCAAGGAGAATAGAACAATTGATCAGAGCTTGTATAAGAGTTGCAAATCTCTTGAGATTTTATATGATCACTTTTATTTTATCTAATCGCAACCCGATGTTTGCGAGATTGGTTGCCTCACTATGGATACGTTTTGATGGTTATCCAATCAAACATCACTTTGCTTAATAGAACAAGCTGAGCCTTCCAGTCTCTTGTCGAGGACATGCTAGCTGGCAAGTGATAGTATTGGTTCGCATCTAACCAACAAGTTATCATAAGTTTCCCCCTTTTTACAAATGATTTTGGTCAAAAACCTAACATTTCCCATATGAGAATATAAGGGTGTGCCGCATACATCCCAATTGCTCCACCATAGTATTTTAAGTTGATTCTCATTAGAGGTTTGAATCCCAAATGGAAAATTTGTTTCCGAATTATTGTTTTGATGAATCACTTTTCCAACATTAAGGGGGAGAGAGAGAAAAAACAGCTAGACAAAGAGATGAGTTGAAATGAGTTATCATTATCTAGTTTTGATCCTCAAAGTAAGAAACATGAACCTGAAGTTCATAAGATGAATTATCGTTACCAACTATCAAATGCCTTTACTGGCCATACGAAGTGACCAAGTCACATATACTAGCTGTGAATGCTCCAACTAAATTTGACATCCTTGTTGGATACTCTAATATAAAAAAAAATGTGTATGAAAGAGCGCATGAAGCGTGATAGACCAATCGGTTCCAATGATAAACATCCTCGAGAAAGAAAAGGAGCTGTAATTAGAATGGTCAACTCGAGGACATGAAAACTCAAGAAGAGTAACCAAGAATTAAGTATAATTTTAGTTCCAGAAGAACACATGTCTCTGAAAGTTGTGAAAGGGAAGAGATCTCAAAAATATATTAGACTACAATACTGGAACCAAAATGAAGTCATTGTCGACGAAATTTGTTTGTTGTACTTCAGTACTGAATATGATATATACAAGTGAGGATCAAGAGTAAAACTCTATTGATGCATGCAAATGATGATGTTATTGGCCAATATAGAAAGAAATCATGAAACTTGCTCAATGAGCATAATGTTTAAGGACCAGAAGTCCTTGCACCTAAAAAAGGGCAAAACTAGCGGGATACAAACAAATTTTTGTGCTACTGGAAAGTATGAAATTGTGAGAGATATCGCACAATGTTTTGCAATGGGTTTCTCGAAAAGACCTATCATTGTTTAAGAGGAGTTATACTCCTCTGTGGTGGGTGCAACTACTTTTTCAAATCAATGTTTGAAAAATGTTGTGATAGCCTATTTGTTTGAATTCCCTGGAGATGTTAAATATATTTGAAACTCCCAGAAGGATTAATTACTCCTAGAAGGATTAATTTACCTGAAGTAAACAAGTAAAGTTCTCGAGAACATATAATGATAGACTAAGAATATCCCCTGCATGGGTTGAGAAAATATAGACGAATGTGAAATACTCGTCTAAGTGAACCCATACAACAGTGGGGTGAATGGACCTTAAAAGGTTAAATCCGGATAGAGTGCATTAGAGCATTTGCATTGTGCATATATAGTTATGTTGTTTGTATGTGCTTCAAGGATTTTAAAACCTTGGTTTATGAGTTGTGTTTTACTTTAAAGTACGAGTTGTGTTTTATGAGTGTGCTTTGTCTAGTTCATATGTTTCTATGATGTGAGTTTTGTTATTATCTTTTGTTATATGAAAGAATTGCTTGCATCAATTTGTGTCAGTTAAGTTATTTTGTGACGATCTCATATTATGTTGATGATATGACTATTATTGGATCTCCTGAAGAGCTTCCTAAAGCAGTTGATTGCTTCGAGACATAAGTTAAATTGAAGGATTTAAGATCCTTTTTATGGGCAAGGAAGGTAATGTTGAAAAAGTGGGAAAGTAATTTTGCATGAACGAATTGTGTTCATCAAATAACATTAGGATCCTAAGATCACTAGAAGTGACCAAAGATCCATTTAGGCATCAAGAAAGAAGTGAAACATTAGGTCCTGAAGTACTCTATGTTGATGTACTAGGTCCTGAAGTACCACATGTTGATGCATCAGAGCACCAATGCATCTTGCTAGCCAAGCATCATATAAACTATCATTTTGGTGTTGATAATATTAGCAAAATACAATGTTTCCCTCAGTGGAACGTTGGAAATACTTTGTTACCTTCAGGAACAATATATGTGATTGTTCTATTATGGTACTATCAAAGAGAGATTTGGTGAACTATATATCCAAATCATATATATTATTTGATCCTCATATTGGTTGATCAGAGACGAGCTATCTCTTACATATGGTGATGTGATTGTTTCATAGATATCCAAAACTAACTATAGTAGGCAAGTCCTGAATATATTTCGTTACACTTTGTGATTCACCATATCTAAAGGACTTGTGGTTGTAAACTATTTCTAAAGGAAATGATCCTGAAGATCATGGTCCATGGATAAAGAAAATCTAAAGATCATGCATAAGATTGACAATCTAGAAGATTGTTCACTAACTAACTCCCGACAACAATCTTTCTAAAAGTTGTTCGTGAAATTTGAGTTAAACGACTCAAAGATTTGAAGTGATGTGGTCATGAGGGGGAGCATATACGCACTGCACTCTTTTTCCCTTAACCATGGTTTTTTCCCACTGGGTTTTCCTGGTAAGGTTTTTAACGAGGCAGTATGAGATAGCGTAATGCAATCTAGTGGTCATCCAAGGGGGAGTATTATGTAAATATTGATATATGGATGACCATTGTCATTACCACATTAGATGCTCACTTGGGAGTTACATGTAACCTCTATTCCTACATTATTATCTCTCATTCATATGCATTGAGATAAGGATGTAGTGGTTACCAAAGTGTGCCTATAAATAGAGCATATTATTGTATCAAAAGTGAAGAATGAATAAGAAGAACTCTTCCCTTCTCTTCTCTTGTGTCTTTCCTCTCTAATCTTCTCTTGTAGTTGTTTATATTTTCATTAGTTTCATAACAGATAATCATTTTCTCATGACCAACCTTTTAATCTTAGTGTTAGAATCTCATATTTTTAATATGTATTAAATATTTATTTATATTATGTAAAAATGACACATCTAGTTTTTAAGTTATGGTTCCACCACTGCTAAATATATAGATCATATAAATGCACAATTCATTTGGTTTAATGGTTTCTCACTTCTGCATATGTTTTGTGAAATTCGACATATAAATTTGTTGTATCCCGGTCTGACCATACCAGTTGCTAAACTGACATAACGGTATAAATCGGTTTAACAACCTTACTCTTCACCCTTATCAATTATCAATAACACATTGAATATTTATTAATTTGTATATGGTAATATTAACTTAAGCATAATTAAACAAACTTGTTTTCAAATATGGAATAGAAAACATAATTAAACACAACTTCAACATAATTATCTTATAATTACAACACACAATCAATTTGAATATTAAAAAATGAAATTTTTTTATGTACGAAATCTCTTCTCCATTAGTGATAATTAACAAAGTTCTTTTTCCAATAGTGTACGGGTGTTTAAAAAAATAGAGTACGGGTGTTTAAAATGAAGGTCGGGGTTTTATTAAGTCCTCCTCTTAGTAGAGTTTTTTTTTACCTTTCTCTATTCCAAATATTCTGCAACGAGCAAGGTTGTCAAACCGGTTTATGTTGGTGTACCGGTTTTGTAAGTGGAATGGTCTGACCGTGGTACAACCAGTATTCATGCCGGTTTTAATAAAATACATGAGGAAAATGGAAATCCTCAATTCCAAATAAATTAGTCATAAAAAAGCAATTAGAAGAATTATTTCACACAAAATAATTTATAGCTAAGAATTGGTAACTAATACTAAACAATTAAATGCTTAAAAATAAAATTTTATTTATGTTTATAATGATTTGTGTAAAATTTAGTATTAGATATATAACATATAAGGTTAATATAGACAACAAAATTGCTTGTATTCTACTGGTGTATAAGTTAAACTAAAATGAACAAGAGGTCCTTGGTTCAAATCCTATGGAAGATGTTTATTTTTGGATATAATATGGGTAACATTAAATTTCGGTTTCTGGTCTAACCGGCCGGAATTCCCGGATTTGACCAGATCTGACCGGCATTGACCGGATTTGACCACAGCTAAATACCGGCCCCTTTCCAGCCGGTTTGCTGACCGGTACCGGTTGAACCGGCCGGCATGAAACCGGTTTGACAACCATGGCAACGAGAGTGAAAGTAGGAAGGACATTTTTGTCTTTATAATTAATTAAATATTTCAGATAAAAAAGTCAATATTAGGATTTGAATCCGGGTCTATTCAAACAAATACAACAATCACAATCAATTACACTAAACAAATTTTTTGTATCTTTTTTAATACAAAACATATACGAAGTGACACTCTGGAAATCAGAGAACTTTTTCATCATGATTAGCCAGCCCACTAAGTCTACCGTATGTATTTTTATGGTACTTGATACTGCAATTTTCATAGCAAATTTTCATGTAGTTTCTCAATTCTAAAATCACTGCTCTCTTCTTAATTTTCGCTAAAGGTAGATTGGTAATTGGCCAACATGGAAGAAACTAATTCTATTACTACGTGTTGTGCCAATGCAATTTTCAATTTATATTTAAATTTGTACTTTTTTTATCTTTGTGCTCATCTCTTTCTAACTTCCTCTGAAATTCCATCCATCATGCAATAGTTTGCACCCCTTTCACTTCATAGTAAAATGTCGCCTTTGAAAATCCATCTTCCGGTCTCTTGGCACTACGATTTTATTCTTGAGGATTTAAACTGTGCAAGTAAAAGATCTCAACTCCGATATCAATCCATGGTGAATAGAATGGAGTTCAATAAATGGAGGTGCAGAAGGAGGATTAAAATTTAAATTTTTGGTTGAAACATACGCCTCTTGAGATTGAAGATATAGTGAATAAAAATTTTATTGTACAACAGAGAGTGGTGGTATTGGATCTTTAGCTTTATGGTTTTTGAAGCTATTGCAACCTAATTCTATCTTAAAACGAGGAATCATTGATTGATTTACTGAAGTAGGTCGGTCGATTCTTTATTCAACCTGCTATAACTGGTGGAAAAGGAGTGTCTAATTTTGTTCCTTATTACTTTGATCGAGTCTATTAGTATATTGGAGGTAACCCTAATTTTGGTGTTTGCTCTCAAGTTGTGATGGTCCCCTCTTAGCTGAGTTGTTAGCATATAGTTGACTTGAATCAACAACTTTCCATTTCTTTTTTATTAGTGGCATATTGTTCCTAAAAGGAGAGCATTGAAAATTTGTGTAGGATTGCGAGGTTTAAGATTTAGTTTCAAACTATCTATGGTTCGTGAGGGAATTTCAGTGGGCTTCTATACTTATCTTTCTTGACATTCAACTAACCAATAACATTTTACCGGTGACTTAATTATCATTATGAAAATGATATCAATGATACATTTTTTATATTTCTCCAAATGTTCTATCTATATATTTTTTCTTTATGTATCATCTCGATCGAAAGATTGTCAATAAAATTAAACGGGTTGATAGACTTAAACTTACATGAAAATATAAATAATCAAATATAAATATTCTGGCCAAAGGGCCGGGTTATAAGCTAGTATATAAGGACAAAAATATTCATCCTAAATTTAAGCAGAATGCTCGAATAATAGAATTAGGCATGTTCTCACAAAGAACCTCTATATATTAGTGTTAGGATATGATGATATAAAAGCATAGGATCTCATATACTTTGTTGATCTTATTTGCCGATGCCGAGTTTGATAATTTTGTCAAAGTACAGGAGCATATTTAATGTAAAAAATAGTAGAGTGAGATGTTTGATAAAATGTCATAGTGAAGAGACATATTATGCCTATAACCCATCTTATTAAGAGTCGTAGCAGAGGGAACGGCTACGGTGCTAATTGTACAATAGTTAGCACCGTCCTAACCAAGGGAAAAACTACTACTAGTTTGAATTAGTAGTGATTTAGCTTAGATGTTGTATTGATTTTATAATAATCCGTAGTGATTTCGTTATTTTTAATAACGTTTTTTGCTAGTTATCACGGTGCTAACCCCTATAAGGGTTAGCACCTAATTCCATCCCCGTAGCAGATAGAAGAGAAATGACAATATCAATCACATCGTGTTGGGCCTGCTTTTGGAGTAATTGATTAATGTTGATGAATCCTCATGACATCGACGTAAGATTTGCCGGCGAGCTGCCGGCCGAAGTAGCCCTTGAAGTAGTCGGCGACGCCGATCCTTCTGTACTCTGGTTGGGCTTGGGTATTTATCAGCAGGCTAGGGGCCGGGCCCAAGTCCCCGTCCAGCTTTGGGCTCAGGAAAGTGGCGAACGAAATCCGTTCCTTGTCAGAGTTGACGGTGGCCCGATGCTCGGCGCTCTTGTATATCCCATTGCTCACTATCTGCATCCACGGAAAGAAGACTAGCCTATGGCCCGGCCGATTGGCCGGTGGAGTTTTATCTTGTCATTCTATCTTGTCACTATTTTTGTCTATTTCGAGTACTTAAATTTAGTAATAGTGCTACCTGACTATCAAGTACCTATGTAAGGGACACTACTCCTGTGATAGAATAACTAATGGCCTCATTTCATAGCTTCAATTATTGTACTTATCAATGTATGAGTTTTAGGTAAAAGGATTACTATCAAGTGTCATGAACACTAAATTATAGGATATCAACATTCTTTCATTTAGTACTTGTATATTCCAAATCAGACCATAAACTCTTCTCTTACTAACTCCATCAAACTAATTGAATTCTAGTAGATATTCGAAATAAGGATTCATTATGTTACAATGACTTACAAAGTGCCCACTACATTGTTGTAATCTCATTTGCTATTGCATATTCAATGTCACGTAGGATTTGCAATTGACCAAATTATCATTGATGTAGTAACTAATGCTCTAAGAAATGATTAGCATAAGAGCATCTACATTGGTTTTGCATTTTCAATTGCAAGATGACATATCATATGTTTCTGTAATTGCAAAACCAATTGTATTAATGTGGCTATGCATGGTATATTTGCAAGTTTACAACAAATGCAATTGCATATAAGATCAAAATGACCTAAATGTATGGGAATCCCTTTTTTCTCAATTTATTTACCATTTTATTCTATTTTTATTAATTTAAATCCGATATTTAATTACATATGCAATTGCAAGTGGATTGTATTTATCTAAGTACAATGACATTAATATGATTTGAATTGAAAATTTATTTATGTGGCAATGAATCCTTGTGTGGATTACCTAATTGTAATTTTTTTCGGTAATTAATTTCAAGCACAACAGAAAATACAACTAAATAAACAAATTAATCAAAGAAAGAGGTTAGACCAATTTTCAAACTGACGAAAAAATGGGAATGGGATTATGGGAATAAAAAAATATAAAATAATTAAGGAATGGTGGGCAGGTTGGAGCAATTTCTACAGGAAAAAATGGTAATGGGAACGAAAAAGAAGCATAAAAAATTATTATAAATTGGTTGTACAAATACCAATGCACCCTTCCAAATTGCGCGGTATGAAGAGCATAGGCTGATGTGGCAACTCCTTTATATTGACATTCCCTTATAGTTTTGTGTAGATAATATAGTAGCAAATTAGAAATGTGTTCATTAAGATAAAAAAAAAATTTTTGAGGAAAATTTTGAGGAAAAAATATATTATCATTATATCATATACCAGTTACTGGTGGTAGATGGTGGTGAATAATTGTATATGGTGGTTAATATATTTTTAATGTTGAATATACAACCATTTTAAATTACCATATATGCATGCTATTATGAATTTATGATATAAACTTATATATTACCAAACATCACCAATATGTATAGTCTGATGATATATATCATATTTTTTGTTCCCAAGGAGATATGACCCGTTAAGTTAAATGGAAAAATATTAAACATGATCCTTATTAAAAAGAAAAATATTAAACTTGATAATAATTAATGAGGTTACTAACCAAATCTTCTCTCCTTCATAGTCATGGGATATATGTGGAAAATGTTAGAAGTAATGATTATCGTGTCTATCCAACGAATATGAATTTTTGCCTCATGTCCACTCGATTTTAGAGGTAAGTGTGTGCTTACACCAAAGTTGTACAAGGACTGCGACCAAATTCATATCCACTAATACCATTTATTTAGAGGCCGCTTGCTTTATAGATTTAAATGATGGATTTGGGTTCTCAATCCAATCCATCATAAATTTTGTAGCCAGTTATTGTTTGCTTGAAATTCGTTAAGGATCAAATTCATGTGGTTCATGGACTTAGAAGACTCCAATATGTGAGCCCAAAGAGGCTTAGACTACATCTAATCCTCAATGACTTTCTTTCATGATGTTACATGTTATGTTAGCTTCTCTCATAGAACTCAAGCTGATCAATGAATATGAACATTTAAAGAAAATCATTTCGAACTATCAAAACCGATCCAAAACCAAATAGTATTTGATAAAAAAAAATAAAAAAAAAGGACAATTTTGTTTGATGATTTTACCTCCAGAATATCACCAATGTTGACAATGAACGCGTTTGTGAGAGGAACAACTGAAACCCAGTGACCGTCTTTCTTAACCTGCAAACCATGAGTATCATTCGTTACTTGCAACAGAATGGTGAGACCAACGGCGTCGGAGTGAGAGTTGACACCCATCACCAGCTCCGGCTGCGGGCATGGAGGATAATAGTTCATTCGAAACTTCTGCCACCCTTCCTCGAACAACACCTTCATGTCGCCCTGGTCTATCCTCAGAGCTTCCGCCATTAGACCGAGAATGGTCATTGCCAGTGCCTTGAGTGCTGCTGAATATTCTTCCAATGTTTCCCTGCACGTACGACACATGAATTTCGTCACACATGTCTGTAGTAATACGTTCTATATGATGCAATACACGCAATTGAATTTCCCTTTCTATTGTGAATAGGGTTGTGCAACGGTCCGGTAACTTCTGAGAACTGCGATCCAACAATAAAAGATATTCGAGAATTGAGGGTTGTATCAATATTGCATTCGATCCAATTTGGACCGGTCCAAATGTCGCATTTTTTGCTCTGTATTTGAAAATTTTCATGAATTGATGATCGGACCACATTATGTATATTCGTGTGCGGTACAGACCTGAGCGGGAGAGGCAGCTGAGGGAAGAGGTGAGGCTTTCGGAGATGTTTTGGAAGGGCGGTCGTGTAGAACAGATCTCCCCAATCAAGCTTCTGTTCCTCGGACACCACGAACGCCTGCCCGAATCCCTCCATCTCTCCAGGTTTCTGCCAATACTTTCGCTTCTCTTCCATCGGCAGGTTGAAGAACCCCTCCACCTCTGCTTTCACCCTGTCTGTCAACGACTCGCTTACGCCATGGTTTATCAACTACACATATCGAACAAAGCATCAACACGCATTAGACCAACTATCTTCCATTAGAAATATTGTAACCGATTAGGAAATCGTCAATATAAAAAAAATACACAAATTTACGTGATTCATTAGCACGACGATGTGTGTCTGCTAATCCACAAGCAGTTGCAGGTATACTTGAAAAGATACATATTACAGCAACACTATGTGACTTCTAGTCGACGACAGATAAGTACGTAGACGGAGAGTATGATATAGGGATCGACCTGGAAGAAGCCCCAATCTCTGGAAGCGGCATGGAGCCTGTCCAGCTCTGGAGTAAGATCACCATCATCGCCATGGCGAGGAGGAGATGACAGTTTCTGCAAATCGATGACAGGGATCTGAAGTGGGGAAGTGACGTTTGGAGGGTCCTGATCAGGACGAAGGTAGCGTGGCGGGATGGCTGCGATGGGGTTCTTGGCCAGTTCTTGAACGCAAGCCACAGGGAGAGAGCTTCCTAGCTTCGTGAGCTCAGGATCTTCCATGGAAATACAGAGTGGTAGGTAGATAGATAGTTATCTCTCTATGTCGTTGTTTCTTTATCGTTCAGGCAAATTCCTCGCCATATATGGACTCACTTAGGCTAGAAAACGACAGAACATATTGTGGGCACGTGTCGTTCATGGTCGTTAAATTTTAGCACACTGTTTTTGCCTAGGATGATGTTATAGTTTTGGATCGTGTCTCTCGCGACTACAGGAGTGTGGGAAATTATTGTTCTGTTGTGGCGTTTTATTCACTTGCCCAAACAGGTTTCTGTGTTTGTTTTTGACAATGAAAGGTTCCTACTTAATTAAGTGCTCTGCTCTGCTACCTAAATAGTTAGAAAACGCGTTAGGTTAGACCAAATTCTTGTCAGCTTCAAAAAATGGTTTATCGCTAGGTTGATACATGATGGTTAACTACTAGTCGGAGAGGTAAATTCTTTTATATATATATAAGGATGATATATAAGTTTCATTTTTTTTTTAATTAAGGTACTAGGCCAAGCCCTTAATCGTTCGGGAGGTGGATTTTTATCGGTTATTTTGTAACACAATTTTAAGAAATAAAATAACCGGGGGGCGGGGAGGTAAAGTCTTACCACGGTTATTTATTTATTTATTTATTAAAAATGTGTTACAAAATTTTCATATATTTGTATCTGTATTTGAAATTTTGAAAAGTCTACAAACTTATTGTCATCCTGCTACGCTACTGTTGCTTCCGGTTTTCCTTATTGTGTTTTTTCCCTGATTGTGCGCCTTCTGCTGATTGAGCTTTAATGAGAATAACGTATTTATTGAAGAAAAAAATTTGATTTTGTGTATGACTCAAGGTTCAAGAATGTTAGAAACATTTTTCTAAGATCAAGTTGTGAAATTGGGAATTGATCGATATTTAGGGATTTAGAAAAGAAATGGGGATGAGAAGAAAAAATTAGAGATAACAATCGAGGCCTTTGGAGAGAGAAAGAGAGACGAGTTCCAAGTCTTTGTCTCGTTGACCTAAAATTGCAATTCATATTTTCGAAAGGAACAGTGAAGAAGGCATGGAATATATGACAGGCAGCTAGAGTCCTCCGTCTTGAACTCGTATTATACATTATATAGCATTTTGTGAAACCGTGACATATATTAATTGTACACTTTTGTTTTATATATAGCTCTCTCAGTCTCAGACGTCGACGAAGTGGCGGCACTCGCGCGGGTGGCGCCTGGGGTCGTGGCAGTAGTTGTAGAGCATGTGGGTCCGCCGCACCCACCGCAGCAGCTTCTTGCCGCTCTTGTCGAGCCCCTGCGTCATCGGCCACCGCTGCCGCCGCCGGCCGACGGAGTCCGCCATGGTGTGGATCCTGAGGTTCCTGTAGGAGGCCGTGAAGGGCGCCGCGTTCCAGTCGGTCTTCACCAGACCGCCACGTGTCGCCCACTTCTCGCCGTTCCAGATGCTGGCCTTGATCCTCATCGGCTGAGTGTTCGGGTACGGAACCCCCACGGCTTCCCTGTTGTTGAACACTCGGACGGGGACGTCGTCCACAAACACACTGCAGAAATGTGATAGATTAAAAAAAAAAAAAAAACTTGAGTTGAGTTGAGTTGTTGGGAGTGATTCAAGTGGAGTCCTAGAACGCTACTTGAGAAAAGAAAAAACGAATATTGTTTGTGTGTAGGTATTTGTTTATCATGGATGCATTAAGTACTTAGGACCCTGATCTTATGAAATGTAACGCTCATCAAACATTACATGAAATACAAATAAATAGTACTATCGATAAGGTAAAAGTCATCAATTTTCTTACCTGATAATTTTTAAAATTATACCATTGTACTATATGCGTAGAAAAATTTGTATTGCATCCTGAATATCTGATAGTCTGATGAGTGATTATTCAATTTGATATATTGAAGGAAATATACTTTATAATTGAATACGAAAACTCATTCATAAATGAGACCACACTAAACTTCAATCTTGTCTACGCCACTGACCATGTTCTTAACAAATAAGATCACTATGATTCGAACAGAAGACTCATATATTATGTTAAGAACAAATTAGTTCTAATAACTCGCGAGGATGCGTTACAATTGTTGATTATACCATTTATACCCCACTCAATAAAAATATGGAGAGACCAAACGGTTTATACGACAACAAGAGGATGAGATATAGATTATGAGGATAGCTTACATGATGGTGAGAGGATTCCAAAGAATGGTGTATTTGTGGAATTCCGTTCTGGGGTCGAACCAGAGGCTGAATTCCTGCTCCCTGTGTCCCACCTCGTGGGTGTACACGTTCGTATGTAACGTATAAGGGTCGTCGGTCAGATTCCCCAAGAACTCAAGATCGATCTCCTCATGTTTTTCCGCCGTCGTCAACTTTCGAGATGCCAGACATTTTGATGAGTTAATTTGACCAATGGAATGCAGCGTATTGTTAATATCATTGTTATAAGATGAAACTTACGTAGAAGGTGGTGACAATTCCGGCGGAATTCCCGGGGGGAAGCTTCATCTCGACGTCGAACTTGCCGAAGAGGTAGGCCTTCTTGGATTGGAAGCCGGCGCCGGAGAGGCGGTCGAGGGTTAAGGTAAGGAGCCTGCCGTCGTCGGAGATGTTGGCGTGGTCGTGGCCCCACGTGATGTCCACATCCCGGTGGAAATTGGCGCCGGCACCGGCCAACAGGGTGCTAATAATTGTGATTAAGATAATTAGGAACGGGGAATAGGGCGAGGAACGTTCCCTAATCCAGGCGATTTCTTCCATTAATGTTAATCGTAATTATTAGCTCTTCCTTCCTCGTCCTGGTGGGTGAATTGAGAGAAATTTAACGTCGGCCTTAATTTTTCTATTAGCGGAGAAATTGATTAGGATGGTTTGTGAAAAAGAATTGGAGATTTCTTTCAATTGTCCATCTAACGTGGGGGGTCAAACGGTCAACCGTTGGTTGACAGTTGTATCTTCTTCTAGTTTGCTTTTTCTACTATATTTGGCTTGAATCTCCACGAAAATTTAGATATTTAGTTTGAGAGAATTGGGAGATAAAAGGAGGGAAAATAAATACAACAGCTTTTGATAAGGATTGTATGGCTAATTGTGTACAATCAATAACACAAACAATAAAACTTACACAAATTTAACATGTTTACTAACACAATATAAATTAGCGACTATAAAATATATATATGTAAATTAGCTAATCCACGGATATGGGATAATGAATTTTCCTCATTTGAGAACACAAAAGAGTACTGATTAAACTTTCAGAGAACAATAAGATAATAGGTATTATGTGTCGCTTTTCAATGGTTGCTTATCATATTTATCAAGGGCGAACCTACTTGTTGGTAAGGGGTGTTGTCCGACTCCCCTTCGCCCATTTTTTTTTGTGAATAACCTATATTTTTATGGTACAAAAAAATTTAATACGAGAATTCCGATACCACTTTAATAATTATAACCGATACTCTTTCGACACCCCTCTTCAACAATCTTGGGTCAGATATTAAAAGATACTAAAATCAGTAACCAAAACTATTTGAGAAGTCGATGGGAACAACAATAATAGTAATCTCCATACAACAAGTGAACACAGATGCGGAGCCCGAATTTGAGAGTCGGGAGCTGATATTATTTAGTGCTATTCCAAAAAGGAGAAGAAAATAAAATAATATATAAAAAAATTAAAATGTATTATTATAACGAAATTATTTGAGATAATTAAAATCACACTTGACTATAATTAATACTCTTGGTTTATAGCCTGCACTCGCGTGGACGTCCCTTTCGGAAGCGCTTGCGATCGGCACAATAGTTGTAGATCATATGATACTTCTGCACCCACCGCAACCATCTCCGACCGCCGGCGTCCAGCCTCTGAGTCTTCCAGTTACCGTATTCGCCACCGGCCACCGTGGATTTACGATCACATTGCCCCGACCCAGTCGAAAAGCAAGAAGACTTGGCGTTGAAGTTTCTGTAACGGGCCGTAAAAGGGGCCTTGGACCAGTCCGCCTTCACCAGCCCACCTCTTGTGGCCCATTGGTCGGCGTTCCAGAGGCTGGAGTAGAGCTTCATGGGCTGGGTCTTGGGGAAAGGGACCCCAATTCTCTCTTTGTTCTCGTAGACACGGATTGGATGGTTGTCCACCAAGAATCTGCAACAATGCTAGAAGATTCATTACGTCCAATAGATGGTTGGTTTGTTTCAGGATTTGGATTTCTAATTCATTTTGTCATGGACTTTGAATTTTCAAATTCATGGGATTCATGACATGACATGGTCATAAATTCATGAGGTAATCGAGAAAATTTATAATCAAATTCAATAAGAAAAAATAGACTCTTTCAAAATTTATAATGCTGAAAAATTCATCATAAATCTAAGGTTTTCCAAAACTCTCATTTCTAAAATCCATCAAAGATACTATCCTAGAGTTCGGATAAGGCTTCAATAGGTCAACCGGATGATGACACATATGCTTAATCAACGAAAAAAAATGAATGCATTTGTTGCACTTACATAATACCATGAGGGTTCCAAACGATGGAGTACATGTGGAAATCCTTGGTAGGATCGAACCAGAGTTGGAACTGTTGTTCCCTGCTTCCTTGGCCTTGAACGTAGACATTGGTATGAAGGGTGTAAGGTTCGCCACTGAGATTCCCTAAGAACTCGAAATCAATTTCATCATGTGCGTGGAACGGTCCTTCAGATGACAGCTGCGCGTACAACCAAGTTAGAAAAAAGAAAGTTATATATATATACTCGCATATGAGTTATACATACACTCGAACGAAGGGATACCAGTTACTTTAAGTGGATATAGAATTCGACTTATAAATTCAACTATGACAAATTCACCATCCGTCCGACCCGATTCATTAACATCCCTGTCTGGAACGTACCTACAATATGTCTTACGCAGTGATATGAACATTCAAAATAGACTTACATAGTAAGCCGTGACGGTGCCAGCAGAATTGCCGGAAACGAGCTTGATCTCCATATCGATCCTCCCGAAGAGGAAACCTCGCTTGGACTGGAACCCAGAGCCGGAGTCTTTATCGAGGGTGAGGGAGAGCGAGCGGCCGCCGTCCCAAATCCGGCCACGGTCGCCGCCCCAGGTGAGGTCGATCTCTTCGTTCAAGTTTGCAGCAGAAAATGCAGAACCCACAAGAACAAACAGAGAGACCAACAGCGACTGGAGGGTTGCGACTGTCCAAGTTGCCATATTGGTTCGACTTTTCGTAACCACTAAAGCTTGAAGCGATGGTAGCAATATGCGCGAGGAGGTTATTTATATGCTAGTGTAAGTGAAGTGATGACTTGAAGCGGACTCCATGGCCAGCCTTGCAACAGAGATTGATTTGGGAAGGAGCTGGAAATGAAACAGAACCAGCTGCCTCTATGTGGAAAAATAAACTTTGAAAAAGATTGTGTTATGTTGAGTGTATATAGGTTTTGAGATTGTGGAATTATAATAGGGTCAATAGCTATTTGAGCTTAGGAATAGAGTTGTTATGATTTGAAGTCAGATCATTTGTTATCGACTACTGTAAGTCACGGGTGTATAGGTTTATACGCTAATGTTATACTGTTTTGGGTATTAGGGGTGTTCAAACGGTGTGGTTATCGTGGTAACCGTTTTAACCGGTAGTATTTGGATAATTTAGTTTGGTTAATTAGGATAATCGATTTAGTTTGGTTAATTTGCTTAGCTGGTTTGGTTTCGTACACTCCTAACCGATCAAATCAAATTAACCAGTTAAGTAATTAGCTATATATCTAATATATTATATAGACATACTTAATACTTTGCATAACCACTCAAGAGTAAAATGTAAGATAATTATATTTGTTACATGTATATATGTTATGGGTTTACTATAATTTTGGGTTGATTGTTATGTGTTATTCATTATATAAATTTCAAATTGGTGCACTAACCAGGAAAATTTCTCACTTAGTGATAATGTGATGGTATTTTGGTTATTTTGGTTGTCGTATTAGTTTGGACGGTTTGGTTATGATATTGTATTTCATGGTTAATAAAATTTAGGTTTATTTGATTTGGTAATTACCATGATAACCATTTGAATACCCCTATGTGGTATGGGTTTGTGACCTATTTCCTTTGCATTTTGGATTTTGGTTAGACCGACTGGAGAAGGTGTTATCTATATCTTTTCATTGCTATGTAATTCGTATCTACTCAAGTATAATAAAACAGGTATATATCTCATGCCCGTGAAATAACTTACACACGTCGTATTTAAGAACCACATAACAAATGCTATGAAAGAACTAGTACAAAATCAACTATTTGAAGCAACAGAGCAGCCTGTGACTGTAAGCTGGAGGATGATTAATTAACTACCCACTAATCGCTGTTATGGTTACTTGGTTGTGTTATTGCTGAAAGTTAGTTTATTTATTAGTATTAATGCTAGAAGTGTAAGGAAAGACCTAGAGATTGGGTACTGTTTTCAGGAACTCGAGATCACACGTGAGCTTTGCAACCTCTTTTAGTTAAGGACACGCTTCAGTTACGTACACTATCTAGCTAGTATCTACTTTACTAATCCAAGATCACGTATAAACAGAAAAAAGGTAGCCTTCTTCCTCTCCATGAGTAGGGATGGTAGTAAGGTGAGTCTGGTTTTCATATATATCATCTCTGAATCACGATTTTAAAATGTTAATCATTCACGTTAGTAAAATTAGACGAAATGAAATATATCATACCAAAATCAATAAGTATGTGGTTGTGAATTTCGTTATAACAACACACGATTTTTTTTGTCTGCCCAATCAAATGATCTAGAATGACAAAACGAGGAATAGTAGGAGGGCTTGAAATGACGGATTTAAGTTATTTGGTATGTTACCTGTTAAATTACAATTTACATGTCATTTGACTAATTTATCACGTGCATTATTCGGTATGATTTCTCAAACTATATTGAACCTAGTATTCATTAGTGACTCAAACTTTTCCAAGTGCAATTGGGGAAGTTCCAGGACCTTCTTTTACCCTACTCTCTATTCTACAACCTTTGTGTTTAGTTATTGCTCGCTAGGTTTTCGCCTATGGCTTTTTGCACAAATCATTGCCTTTGGCCATCATTTTGCACCCCATCTCTAAATATTGTCGACGGAATCCTAAGTTATTCCCCATCACCATTTCCCAAGGCCGCTACCACGAGTTTTGTATCTAGACCGATTTTCATCCTCTTTAGTGTTTTTTTCTTTCTCTTTTTCCTTTTTGTTGAGCATGATCACAATTGAACCCAAACACATAGATATCCTAACTTAAACATAAATCATCGCCTTTTTGCAGCCCATCTCAAAAATACTGTCGGCGGAATCCTAATATTTGTTCTCCACCACCATTTCCCATGGCCGCTACCATGATTTTCGTATAGGGACCGAGTTTCATCCTCTTTAGTGTTTTTCACCACCGTTTCCCAAGACCGCTACCACGATTTTTGTCTCGGGACTGAGTCTCATCCTTTTTAGTGTTTTTTCTTTCTCTTTTTCTTTTTTGTTGAGCATTATCACAATTGAACCCAAACACATGATTATCCTAACTTGAACCCTAACATAGGGGTGTTGCTAGGTTTACATCATTAGTGGCTCTCACACTCCTCCAAGTGCAAGTGAGAAAGTTCCAAGTCCTTCTTTTACCCCACTCTCCATTCTACAACCTTTGTGTTTAGTTATTGTTCGCTAGGTTTTCGTCTATGGCTTTTTGCACAAATCGTCGCTTTTCCCACCATTTTGCAGCCCTTCTCGAAATACTATCAGCGTAATCCTAAGTTGTTCCTGTAACACCCCGAATTTTAGGTTCAGGTTCGATCATAATAAATGAACGGTTGGATGGACGATGTAGGAAAAACTCCAATAAAACCAAATCAGGTTAAGGATCAAGGCCTAATTTATTGACGCAACCCAAATCAATCATTGCCTGGCATAAGGGTTTAACTGTGGAGGGGAGAGTTTTGGTAAGGTAGATTTTTTTTTCATGTCCTCAGCAGGCGGGGGGCGGCAGCGCGACGAGTCTCGTGGAAAGGTTTTCAGGATTGGACACAAATGGGTCACTCTCGAGAAGTATCCTACTGCAAAGGAAATGCTCTTTCGTGTCTCGGTGGATGGCCAAACCTGCCGGCGACGGTTCGTCTACCTCAACCTCGGGCTTGCGCGATGGCTACACGGGTGCCTCCATGCGGCGGCTGTGAACGCCTGGGACTTCCCAGCGAACAGTGTGAAAACAGTGAATGGTCGCAGCCTCTCTGTTCAAAGGAATTCCAACCGCCATGGGATCTGTATCAAGCTTATGGAAACAAACGCGAAGGGCAGCTCGTTCTATATTTTAATCCCGCTTGAGGAACCCTTTACTGGCTGGCTAGATCTCATCATGGCGTTCAGGGTTATGACCACCACTCCCAACCAAAGAATTAGGAGCTCAGAAGTTGCCGTGAACCGAAGTGATGCTCGCGTTGTTTCCGGGGTAACTTTTGCGGAGGTGGCCAGGAACGGACTACCTCATCGATAAGGAGATTGCCAGGTGAAGAGTATGGGCCAAACTAGGTACATTGAGGTCAAAGATGATGGAGTGAAGCAGCGACTTCGTTTCCTTGATCGATGTATGCTTATTCATTTTTTTGACAAGCATAATCTTGGTATCCCATCGGATTTTTGGCAAGGAATAGGTGGAACCTGGCGGATAACCTCTTCTTTTCTCATCGGGAAGGGGATGTTTGGATGTTAGTTAGTCCGTCGGTGGCAGACGTGGTTGGTCTACAAGGAATAGACCCCGAAAGGTATAGGGAATTTCACGTTACTCTTAGACCATGGAAGGAGGAAGATGGCAGAGACTTCCAACCTCAAGGCGGTTTGCGATGGCTGATTATTTTTGGGGTTCCTATTCACCTGCGATGTCTGGAAGTGTTCCAAAGAATTGGGGATCTTTGCGGAGGTTTGATTGATGCGGACCTGGGCAATTGGGAAACTCCGTTTACGTTGATTAAAGTGAAAATCGGCAAAGCAATTCCAGATAGTGTGCCGCTGGTATTTGGTTCTACTCTTTTTCAGGTTTGGATCTTCATCCCTCCGATGGCGACGCCATCGGTGCTGAACCTCAACCGGAGTAGCCTCCTGCTAGGGCAGACGAAGCGCCATGTTGCAACGGTCGCTGATATTAACCCCGAGACGCACGTCACTCTTCCCAATAGTGGCGTGCATGCCCATGCTCCCACGCAGACCAGGTGTGATGGGCCTCCCTACAAGCCCATACTAACTAAGAGGATTTGGGTTCGTAAACTCGGGCTTCTTCGTAGGTCCACTCGATGATGTGAGCTGCCTTTTACTACTTATTCTTCCTCTGTTGCCTGCTCCGAACCTCAACCTCTTTCCCCCTGCCCTCTAGATGCTGAGTTGCAATCTCTTTCCCCTTTCAACGATCAAAACCCTCCTTCTCCCCTTCCCAGCCTCCTTTCTTTTCATCAACTCATACCAAATCCCCCACCCCTATTCTCCCCCTTTCAGTTCACACTCCTTGCCACTAACCTAAACTCCCCAGTTCTCCATGTCCCGCCTCACTTGCTCGATATTCTTACCCAAAACTTTACCCTCAGGCTCTCCGTCGCACTTACCACGCAACCAGACTCCTTTGACCTCTCTATTTCCATCCCATCCCCATCAAGCACCCCCGACTCTTGCCACTTTGAATCCCCTTTCTTGGAACCCGTTGCCTCGTCTAACCATGAGGCGTTTGATTCCTCTTTTGATCCAAACCCTCTTGCTATTATCTCCTTCAATCCTTTCCCCTCGTTGGATGCGAATGAGTGGAGGCAACAACATGAAATCTCCCTCTTAGTCGATCGATGCAAATCTTTTAGCAGATTGTTCAGGCTGGAGTTGAATTCTTCGGAGGAGAAGGCAGATTCCTTTGTCGAGCAGCTTGCAAGGGAGGCTAAAGAAGGAAAAAGGAAACCAGGAAGAAGGTCGAAACTGGAAATGGAAATGCATAGATTGGGTTCCCCATCTCCGTCATTAATAGATCCGAGAAGCAGAGCTAAGTCGTGTAGAGATGTTGACACCGTCGTGGCGGCGGGTGCCTTAAAACGAGGCAAAGGTGCAGGAAGCAGACATGCCAACACAATTATCAAGTCCTAATGAATGCTTCCTCAATACTATCTTGGAATGTCCGGGGCCTTGGTGCTAGCGATAAGTGGGCAAGGATCAAGAGATTAATAAGAAGGTGGCATGCGAAGATTGTGGTTCTAATTGAATCTAAGTGGGACAGCTGCACAGATTCTCTTATTAGATCCGTTAGCGGGAACAAGAATTCTGAGTGGGTTGCAAAAGATGATATGAACACTTGTGGAGGCATCGCCATGTTTTGGGACAAAAGTGAGTTCAGATTAGTGGACAAGTGGGTAGGGAACTTTTCTCTAGCGGTTAGGCTAGAATTTGGCAACAGGCGAGAGACCTTGGCGATCCTCGGCGTTTATGGCCCTCAAGATAGGCAGGGCAAGTCGGAGTTCTTGAGAGAGCTGAAGTTGATTTGTGAGCATGTCCTGAGAACCCATATGTATCATCGAGAATTTCAATCAAGTTTGATCAGATGAGGATTACAGAGGCATGCCTAGAGATCGGGATTTGATGGAGGAGTTCAATGAAGTAATTAGCTCAAACAATCTCATTGATTTACCATTAAAGGGTGCTTTGTTTACTTGGAGCAGAGGAGGGAGTAGCAGCTCTATGTCTCGGATCGATAGGGCGCTGATCAATCATAAGTTCGAGTCTTGTTTTGCTCCGGATTCTGTTCTAGCTCTTGAAAGGGTAGAATCGTATCATAATCCTCTGCTGATTCGTTGGTGCAGTAAAGATCGGGTCAGTCGCCCTTGGAAATTTCTGAATATGTGGCTGTTGGATGAAGGTTTCCTCTCTCATCCTGTTGCTTGGTGGAGCATTCCTGTTTTGGGGATTGGTTTCCTCTTCAAGTTCGGCCAGCGTTTGACAAGTACAAAGTTCATGATTAAAGGTTGGAACTTAGAGGTTTTCGGCAGAGTGGAGCACAAAATCTCCAACCTGCTCAAAAAGCTGAAGGATATTGAGAAATTGGAAGAACAGGGACCGTTATCAGAAGAGACACAGATTCAAAGGAGTCTAATGAAGTGCGAGTTGGAGAAAACACTCATCATGGAGGAAATCACTTGGCGGCAGACGTTTCGCGAGACTTGGCTTAGATTGTGGGAAAAGAACACGTCCTTCTTTCACAATGTGGCAAAAAGCAATCATCGGAGGAACAAAATCCGCAACATTAAAGTGGATGATCGAGTGGTTGATGGCAAGACAGAATTGCAGGGGGCTTTCATTGGCTTTTTTCGAGAAAGGTTTCACGATTCTAATCCGGTAAGACCTTTCCCACGGGGTTACAGAGATGGAATTATTGGGGCGGAGGATAATTTTTCGATGACAGTTCCCTTCACAGAGACATAGATTTGGAAGGCTATTTCAGCTTGCGATGGGGATAGAGCCCCGGGGCCGGATGGCTTCACAATTGCTTTCTACAAGAAGTCCTGGAATGTCATTAAAGGAGATTTGGTTAAAGCTTTTGATGATTTTTACATCACAGGTCTGGTACCTCTTTCTATCGCACATTCCTTCATTTGTCTAATTCCGAAAAGGGAAGCTGTTGAGGAGGCTAACGACTTCAAGCCTATTAGCCTCATCGGAAGCATCAACAAGATCATCTCTAAGGTGTTGGTTGCCCGCCTTCGGCCGCTGATGAACAGATTGATCTCCTTTAACCAGTTTGCAGGGGTTAGAGGACGACAACTCCATGAAGCAAGTCTTATTGCTAACGAGTTAGTTGACAGCAGGAGGAGGAGCGGGAAACCTGGAGTTGTTTTGAAGCTAGACATTGAAAAGGCTTTCAACACGGTTAACTGGAACTGTCTGTTCAAGATTTTTGAATCATTTGGGTTTAATGCTAAAGTCCAAAGGTGGGTCCGGGGACTTGTTTCTGCTTCCAGACTGTCTATACTCGTTAATGGCGAAGCTGCAAGTTTCTTTAAGCCAGATCGAGGTCTGAAGCAAGGTGACCTGTTGTCACCGTTCTTCTTCAATCTGATTATGGACGTCTTATCGCTCATGATTCAGGAGATTAGTAGTGTTGGTTTCTTAAAGGGTTTCTGTATGAATGAAGAATCTCGGAGAGGGGAAGTTACCCATTTGCTTTACGCAGATGACGCTATCATCTTCTGCGATGAGACTGAAGAGGAGGTTAGGAGTGTTTTGGCCGCATTAATCTGTTTTCAAAGTGTCACTGGGCTAAAGGTAAATGGTGATAAGAGTTGTATGTTTCCAGTTGGAGATGTTGATCATATTGAAAGGCATGCACAGACCTTTGGATGCAAGTGGGCCTATCTTCCAACTGTGTACCTCGGACTACCTCTCGAAGCTTCCCCAACAGCCGTTGGAACCTGGAATCATGTCTTATCAAAACTTCAAATTAAGTTGGAGGGGTGGAAAGCCAAGATGTTGTCGTTGGGTGGGTGGCGAATTATACTGTGCAACTCTGTTTTGTCGAGTCAGCCCTTGTTCCGTTGTTCGCTATTCATGGCCCCTAAAAGCGTGATTCACAAGATTGAGAAAGTTCAGAGAACTTTTATTTGGGAAGGAAATTGGGAGCAACGCAAGACACACCTGGTTGCTTGGGATAGATGTAAAGCACCAAAGAAATGGGGTGGCTTGGGAATAATGGATCTCGAACTACAGAACAGGGCGTTGTTCTGCAAATGGCTTTGGAGTTATACACAAGAGGAGGACCCCTGGTGGAAGAACTTGATCAAAGAAAAGTTTTATGGGGGCGGTTCTAGATGGCGTAGTGGTGTGATCTCGGGTGCGGCTGGTTGTAGCCCCTGAAGTCAAATTATTAAAGGAGAAACAGACTTCTGGAAATTTGCGCAGGTGAAACTGGGCACGGGAGAATCGACTTCCTTTTGGTTAGATCGCTGGTGGGGTGATCAAACATTCGTTGAGGCTTTCCCTCGAATGGTTGCTGCTGCTGCTTCCCCCTGGCTTCGATTCGAGACCTTCTCCACTTATCTAATGAGAGAGTTTCTTGGGAAATTCCTTTTTAAAACCTCGTTCAGAGGTGGAGCTAAGAGGGAAAGGGAGAGATTTTTTGATTCACTTAATACTATTGGACCTTCTCTGTTTTCTGCAGGTCCGGACTCTGTGATTTGGCAACCGACGGATAAGTTCAGCGTGCACTCCTTGTACTGCTGCCTTGCGAAAGAAAGGTACCCAGAATCAGAAAATTATTCGTTTAAGACGATTTGGCAGTCGTGGATCCCGTCAAAGGTCTGCACTTTCCTGTGGATCGCCCATCAACGAAAGATACTCACTCATGACTCCCTAAAGAAGAGAGGTTGGTGCTTTCCCAGCATGTGTGTCATGTGCACTGCTAGCGAAGAAGACGCAGACCACCTGTTCCTGCATTGCAGCTTCGCAAACAGAGTGTGGTCTATCCTCGGTGCCTTCATTCATTCAAACTGAAGTCCTGGAGATTTAACATATGTGATTAACAATTGGCCTAGAAGGAATCCTGCAAACCTGAAAGAATGGTGCACCTCGGTTCTCATCCATGCCTTGTTTTGGAGTTTATGGGAGGAAAGAAATCGTAGGACTTTCGATGGAGTGGCCAGCTCGGAGTATGTGGTTGCTTTCAGGATCGGCAATATAATTGTACAATGGTTGACAACAGCTGGCAAATTGGACGTAGAAACTGCTGAACAGTGGCTTAGAATCCTGAAAAAAAGAATAGTTGGTGAGCGGGGTTATGCTAGAATCGATATGTGAGAGTGACTCTTTTCTTTTTCTGGTCTGCATCCTTGGATGCTGCTGTTTGCTGTGGGAGAGACCCTTTTCTGTTTCTGGTCTGCATCTTTGGATGCTGCTGTTTGCTGGGTTTTTTATTGGCTACTGCAGCTGGGTGGACTTGGATCTCTCAGTTTGGGATCTGTCTTGTGCT